AAAGACCAAAAAAGAATGAAGAGGCATTTAGAGAAATGCAGGACAACATGAAATGTAACAATATGTGTATAATAGGGATATGAGAAGAAGAGGATGAGGAAGGGATAGAGAACCTGTTTGAAAAAGTAATGATGGAAAACTTCCCTAATTGGAGGAGAGAAAAAGTCACAAAGGTCGAGGAAACGCAGAGGGTCCCATTCAAGAGGAACCCAATGAAGCCCACTCCAAGACGCATCATCATTAAAGAGGCAAATATCAAAGACAAACAGAGACTCCAAAAGGCAGCAAGGGAGAAAGAGGTAGTAACATATAAGGGAGCCCTGGTACGGCTAGCAGCTGACTTCTCAACAGAAACACTGAAAGCTAGAAGGGAGTGGCAAGAAATATTCCAAGTCATGAAAAGCAAAGGCCTACAACCAAGATTACTCTACTCAGAAATGCTCTTAACTAAAATGGAAGGCAAAATGAGGAGTTTCCAAGACAAAAGACGGCTAAAAGAATATACCTCCACCAAATCAGCACTGCAAAATATGCTAAAGGGACTGCTTTAAGATGAAGAAAAAGAGTCTATGAATACCCAGGTCCTTTCACAGTTGCCAATACTTGATATTACCAATATTATTTAATATGTATTAATCTGATTGTGACAATGATGTGTTATTTTAATTGTTCCATTACTTGTTAAAACTAAATGTGTTTTTGTGTATTTCTTGCCTATTTCTATTATTTTTAAAAAAAGCTTTAAATGACTTTTTGGTATTCTTTATCTGTTTATCGATTAAAGATTTGTAGAATTTTTTTCCCTAAAAAACCCCAAAATAACAACTATTAACCCTTTTTTAGATGTGCAGCAAATACTTTCTATTACTTGTCCTCTAACTTTTTTTATATGTATATTACTATATAGTCTTAAATGTTTAATACAGTCATATTGTCAATATTTTACTTAATAGCTTTTGGGTTTGAATAATTTACTTTAGGGTAAGGAAAATATTAGTTTGAATTTTCTCCTACACTCCTTAGATTCTACATATTGATTTTTAACTCACCTGAATATTTCTTGTATAATGTGTGAAACAGGGCTCTATATTTGTTTTATTTAAAGTAACAGTGGTCCATGCACCTTATTTGTTGAATAAGCCTTATTTTCCCCATTGATTTGAAATATCAATTTAATCATATATTATATTGTTAGACATATGTGTTTGTTTCTAGAATGCTCATATTTCACTGATCTACTTATTATTCTGTGCTGGTGTCATGTTGTTTTAATTGCTGAGACTTTATAATGGTTTTAAATTTTTTAATATTTTATAATTGACTTTGACATTACAAAAATAAATAAAATCAATCTGCATTTAAGGAAGAAAGAAAGAAAGACCAACCTTTTGCCACAACATGGATGGAACTGGAGAATATTATGCTAAGGGAAATAAGCCAGGTGGTGAAAGACAAATACCATATAATGTCACCTATAAGTGGAATCTATTCCACAAAATAAAACTAATGAATAAAATAAACCACAAGCATGGAAACATGAAGCAGACTGAAAGTGACCAGAGGGGATGGGGAGAGAGGACGATGGTGGAAAGAAGGGGAAGGGACTAGACAAAGAACATGTATGAATGACCTATGGACATGGACAACAGAGTGGGAACTGACTGTGGGGGGCGGGGATGGACGGAGGGGGGTAAAGGGGGAAAAATTGAGAGAACTGTAATGGAATAAACATCGTTTAAAAATAAAAAGAAAAAAGAATTTGAAAAAGAACCCATGAGGGAAAAAAACAGTAAAAAAAGTAAACATACAGAAAAGTAAAAGGAAAAGACACAAATGAAGATGAGAGGGTAAAAGGAAAGGATTGTAATAATAATGGCAAAACTTGGGGGAAAAAGGCATTATAGCTACTCCAGCACCTGACTGCTTTCACAGAAAGCATCCAAGAAGAAAACTAGTTTGCTTTGTTGTCTTCTTATTGTAAATTTAAAATTAGAAGACTTTGTATAATATGGCCTATAGAGCAACTTGGAACTGTTTCTTTTGCTTTTAAAAGCTTTCCAGGTAAATCATCAAAAGCAAACCCCTGGGCTGAATATAATACAAAATCACCTATGCCATGTTTGAAAAATATAAATGTTGCTGGATAAGAGGTTCTTTAAGGGCCTTCCTGTCCTTTCGACTGTTTTCAAACACAATGAGTAAAAGAATTTCTCACAATCAAGAAATGCCCATTTATTCCTACTCTTCCTTTTGCTGAATCACCAGCTTTTATTTTTCTATGCATTCCCCCCTACAGGCAAAGCCAAACTAGGATATTTCCAAATTTCCTTATAGGATACGGTATATAGACATATCTTAAGAACCCACATAAAACCAAAAGGCATAATGTATCCTTTATCTTACAATCCACTCTTATCCATCATCCTTCAGAAGGGTTTCTTAATCATATTTATGTTAAGGAATATGTGGTTAGGGCCAGGGAATCCTGTGAAGAAAGATTAGAATACAGTAAGAACCACACAGCAACTAATGGGGAAGGGAATACAAAACTCCCTGGTATCATAATTAGAAAAAATAAAAACTAGGAAAGAAACTAGAATTGTGAAAATAGCTGTGACCAAGAATGAAAGGGAAAATTTCCACAGAATATTATGCAAATGTGCCAACCAGATACACACACACTAGCCTCATAGCAGAAAGTAGGTGCACACTTCACTGGTAGTGGAGTCCCTGGTCTAAACACAGACTGCATTCAAAACCATAGGTAACTCCCAGTCAGCCCTTGTCCCCAGGCCTCCTCCATCCAAAACTTTTGAGAACATCAATATCAAGAGTAATGTCTGAAAGAGCCTCTATTCAGAAGCCAGACTGAGGGTATAAATTTGCCACTCCAGGGCACTACCATATGGATATGGTTATTTTATCACATAGGCCACTTTCATTAAAGAAAATGAACCCCCTCCCTTTCCGCCAAGACAGCAGATGCTCAGGGGCTTTTGTGTACCATGGTGAGAAAGGCAGAATAGATCAGGAAAGTGAGCCTGTTTGACAAGGAAAAAAGACAATGATGGTTCTTGGTGAGGTTTCTTTAATTTCTGTTGACACAGGTCTCCCGATGGCTTAGGAAGGAAACTCAGAAAAGTCCATTTTTTTCCATTGTTCAGAAAGGGATCTTGAGTACACTGTGCTGTCCTTTGAGTTCACTGAAAAATGAATCTAATTAGAACTGGAAGAATGACTTTACACAGGTTTTAAGAAAGGGAGGATACTGATACTATAAAATGCTAAAGTAAAGATTAGACTGCCAAAGTTTACATTTTTCTTAAACATATTCCTCCTTCTTAAGCCTATTATATTTTTTGTACTGGTACCTTCAGAATTCCTGAACTTCGCATATTTTAAAAATATAATTAGAAAAATAATTAGATTGTATACATGCTATCAAAGTCCTGAAGAGTAATCGCTGTCTTTTTGCTTACTAATAGGTGCTTCACAGTGTTGAGAGAGATAGAGCTCCAGGAGGAATTCCAGAGAAAAGAACAATATAAACTGTTAAGAAGTGCTTTCTAGAGTGGTGTTCAGGCCAACACAAGGAAGGTCCTCCTTAGCCTGACAGCTCCATTTGTGCTCAGAGATGTAACTGTGTGCCCTGGCTGTCTATCAGTTAGGAGCTGTACTGAAGGTAGGTGATGGCTATTGTGTATGAGCTAAAGAGAACCAAAGGATTAGTCGGTAGGATTCCTACAAATATATACTCAGCAACTCAACTTAAAATATGGTTAAGCAAAGGAAGGATTTAGTTAAAATTCAATATGAACGCAAAGCCCATTCCCAGAGTTACTTCACTTGTGTCCTGGAGGAAACCCAAAACTGCTGAGGAAAACTGCAGCCCCGCCTGCCGCGTCTCCCTCAGCGCACCTCCACGTCGGTTCCTATTTGGGGGTCCCTGATCTTCACAGGAGAACGCTGTTGCATCTCTGTTCAGCTGGCGTCTTTTAAAAGGAGATCACCCTATTAGACTTCCTGCTGTTAAATTATCAGAAGCCTGATTCTAAGGACGTTTCCAAGGGGGATTTACCTGCGGATGGACAGAACATGCAATATACTAGGTAACTTAAACTTTCTCCTTGATCAGTTCAGGCTGTCAAAAGCTACATATTCACAAAACTCCTTTCAGTGACTTGGGTTTTGAATTATGTCACTGTTGGCAGAGAAAGACTCTTAAGTGGTGCAAGGAAACTCCCTATTGTAATGAATGAGAAATTATTATTTAATAGGTCTGGGTGGGCCTGAACATCTGGATTTTTAATAAGCTTCCCACAGATGTGCATTAAAAGTTGAAAATCACCACCCTGTTTTACATCAGGTGGAAGGGATGTTCACACCATTATGACACGCGTGCCCTCTTAAAGCAGACCCACAGGGGAAATTTCCCGTAGGTCCCATTCCTGAGCTGATTTTATCGACACTGAAGCTTGTGCCAGCTCTGCGGGAGCTCCCTTGAACTGCAGGGCAGCGGCACCTGAAGGCCTGAAGGAGGTGTGGTGGCAAGAACACGGGCTTTAGAACCAGCGACCAGCTTTCAACCCCCACACGGGTCAGGCTTCGCAACCTGTCTCTCGTCCGTAGAATGAGGACGGGAGGTCCGTGCCTCACCAAGTTGCGGCGAGACCTAGCTAAATGCCGGAGCCGCGAGGTCACAGGCCGGGAGTCCCGGCTGGTCCGAACCTGACAGCCGAGTGGCATGACACAGTGTTTTCCCATTATTGCGCGTTCCCGCTTGCTAGTTCCCACCTTCGCCGGCCGGGACTCCCTCCTCGGTTTGGCCCGTTTATGTACTTGGAAGTCCCCTCCGAAGCTGCCGGCGGAGGCTGGACTCACGCAACGCATTCCGGACCCCTGGCCGCGAAGCCCTGGAAGCCGGACTCGCGCCCACGCCCCCGAGCGAGGCGCTTTGTCGGCGCCAGGCCTAGGGAGGCACCGTCCGGCGGCAGGCTCACCTGCAGGCGGTGGCTCTTGACCAGGTGCATGTTGAGCGCGGGGCTGTTGGGCAGGATCTTGCCGCAGCCGCGCACAGTGCAGAGGATGTTTGTCCGCACGGCCCGAGACAGCTCGCTCACCGACGGCTGTATCAGCTCCCCAGCCGGCAGTGTCGGACCGCCGGGCTGCTGCCTCGCCGCTGCGGGCCGCGGCCGACTACCCCTCAGCCGTCCAGGTGGCCCCCACAGGCCCGAGGCGGCGGCGGCTCCCCTCGCGGCCGCCTGGACGGCCGGGGTGCCCGAGGCCAGAGCCCTGGGTCCGGCCGCCGCCGCCTCAGAGGCCGCCATAGCTCCCACACAGCAGCCGGGCCGAGCTCTCAGGCCCCGCCTACCGCCACTGCTACTTCCGGCAGAGGGTGGCACCTCTCAGCTCATTAGCATCCGGCTCGGCCGGACCGGCTGCGGCGTCCCCTGCCGGCCAGGGAGTGCTCGTCTGTGAGGAGCCGCTGCAGGTGAGGCGGGCCGCTTACAGAACTTCCCTGGGATTCCTACAAATAGGTAAAAGTTTCGCTGGCCCATTCTTTGCCTTCCTAAAAGCTTGACCTCAGACAATAATTAGAAGAGAAAGCAATACGTTCAGAAACTTTACTTCCCAAAGATGAGAAACAACCCAAATGTTCAACACCTGGACAGGCAACAGTGTGGTAATTACAGCTATCGTTTATTTAGGATTTACCATGTGCCAGACACTGGGGAATGCACTTTTCATTTAGTGTCCATTTTGTCCTCAAAACAGCCATGGCGGGTATATACTATATGTTTTTCCCTATGTTCCCCCATATATATGTTTCCCCCTATTAGTCCTAGGTCACATTATACAAACGAAAAGATTTGTTATAATTGGCAATCATTTTAAGGAGGCTGGATTTACTTGCCTTTATTTTAACTGACGAAATCTGATTACTGTTTGGGAGACAGTGTAGCTGAAGCCAGGGTTCTAAAACCTAAGTACCTAGAGAGACTAGGTAGGTCATGTAAATGAGAATAGTAGGTCAGGAGTGTAAGGAGGGAGGGATGAGGGCTACAGTGAAATGAGAAATACATCCTTTGTTTAAAGGGGGACAGCTACTATCTTTGACATCACTAGATTTTTCAAGACTTTTATGTGAAAACATCCAACTTTTAGATATTAGGGTCTGTATCAGTTTTCTATTGCTGCAATAACAAATTACTACAATCTAGTGGCTTAAACACAGACTGGTTATTGTTGAAGGAATCCAAAAAGAACCTGGAGACTTTGGCTAGAAAAAAGTGATAAAGACTTACTCGGGTGTCTTGGAGTTTGCAAACTGGGAACAGAGCAAGGCAAAAAAGCATTCCAAAGAAGAAAAAGTTAAAAGTTCTTAAAATGCACATTCTTGAGAATTATCAGTTCTGCATTCTTAGCCCTAGGGTTGGTCCAGGATGGCTGTCAGACCGATTTCGGGCAGTCAGGATGGCGGATGCCAGGTGGTGCAGAAGATGAGCGCCAACAGGTCTGGTCATGTCCCGTGGTCTGGATAATGGAGGTCAGGTGGGTGTATCTGTGAGTCCTTCGAGGGGCAGTCAGTACTCTGGGTACCCGAGTCCTCCAGGGGATAATCAGAGGGTTATCTGCGTGTCCATTTATAAATCCAGGCATTGTGCAGGACAGGAAAGTTCAAAAAACTTAAGTTCCCAGGCTAGTGACAACAGAAATGGAATCTTTCATGCTTCAACCTTCACGTTAATACTTTTAACAGTTTGGTTAAAATGACTCCATTTTATATATTCCCTGTCTTCACTCTTTCCTCATTGTCTTAAAATTCTGGAGATTAGAAGTCTCAAATGAGTCTACTAGGCTAAGATAAAGGTGTTAGCAGGGCTACATTTCTTCTGGAGGCTCTAGGGAAGAATGTGTTTACTTGCCTCTTCCAGCTTCTCAAAGTCAGTAAAGGTGAGCTGCGTCGTCATGTCACTGATTTCGTCAGTAGTTATATCTCATTTTGCTCTTTTCTCTTCCAGTTTTGAGTACCCAAATGATTAAACTGGGTCCATTTAGGAACTCTCCCCATCTGCAAACTCCCTTTGCTTGTAAGGCACTATATTTACAGATTCCAGGGATTAGGATGTGGGCATCTTTGAGCAGGGGGTGTATTATTCTGCCTACCCTAGGAACTAACTGTGATTTAAAATGTACTGTGGGCCAAAACCAAATTAAAACAAAACAAAACCAACATCAAAACTCCCCACATGTACGTTTGGGATAGGATTCATGGGCTATTTTCTTTTCGGCACAGTGTTTTAAAGAGTGCAGCCTCTGGGGTCTGACTGCCTGTGGTTAATGTGGGATCGGCCACTTACTAGCCAAAGCTTTTGGTATTCACTTACAGTAGAATAAGATGAGTAATGCAGCCTGCCTTATAGGATTGTTATGAAAATAAGATAAGCATATAAAATACTTAGTACAGTGCCTGCCATATAGTAAGTGAACAATAAATGTTAACTATCATTCATTTTTGGAGACCCTACCTCATCATTAAATTATTCTGAAGCAATTCCTTTACCTAATTTTACATTAGGCAGTAAATTCCTTGGGCTATGAAGGTCCTTGGATATGTACTTACTGCTCCATTCGTTTCCAAGACTGCATTTGAATACAGCATGTGTCTCTGCACCATCAATCACCTAACAGGGAAGAGTTCCATGTATTCTCATTTCCTTAAGCAGGCACCTCTCTCCAGGAGGGCCCCAGGGTGCGGCATCAAGTGTGCCCGCTATAGGTGGATAATACAGTTAGCATCTTCTCATTCAGGTTGCAGTTGCCCATCCTTGCCAAGCACCAGGGAGGGCTATGAGCCGTGAGAAGCCAACCCAGGGACATGTAGCGCCTCTGTGCAGACCTAACACAGGCATTCAGGCACTGAGCAGAAGTGCCTGCCCTGTGTGCACAGATGCTGTAAACCACAACTATGGTCTATAAGGAAATTAGCATTATTAAGCCCCTGTAGACTCAGTCCCTGACTCTGAGATAACTGAAGTGTCTTTGCCACTGCCAATCAGTAAAAAAATACCATTGTATTCTAAAGCATAATTTAACCCTTTTTTTCTGATTGTATTTATATATCTGTATATTAAAACCCCTTGAATTTCATCAAAAGTAACTTATGTACCAGTTTTTAAAACTTTATTCACAAATCAGTATAAAACTGGTCAGTTTGAATGTCACATGTATGAAAAAATAGATTATAAAAAGTATACTTAAAATGAAATCATTATTTTATATGACTGAATTATCTGATATGCTACCTCCTGCAATAACTTAATGGACCCAAGTCTGATTATCCGAGAAAGTTTAGAGTTCGGTACAGTTTCTTGGTGCTTCTTTATGTGATCCAATGCTTAAGAGAAAATTCCTGAAAACCAGCACCTGGGACCAGACCTCTCTAGGGTTGAGGAGAGACAGATGTGAGAAAAAGGACGTCCCATCCCTTCTTTAAGGCCCACAACTGCTGTGCTTTGCAGAATATGGGGGAGAGGGAGCACATAGGGGAAGAGAAATGAGTCATTTCCAACACTTATATTGAACATTTCTAAATTGTTAATATTAAGGGTTCATGTCTAAAACACAAGTTTTTAGACAGACACTATCCTGCTAGCTATAAAGTGAAATGTGTGTGCATTATGTCAGGGAGATACAATGCTTACAAAACCAAATACATCTTATTTATCTCTAATTTTAAAATAATTCATTCTCTTTTTGGGTATGCAAGTGAGCAATGGAGAGAGTGGTGCATCTGCAATACCTGAAATTAAAAAAAGAAAAAGAAGACAAAATGAAAATAATCACAGGACAAAGATTCGAGTCAGTTTAAAAATGGGCAAGATTAGAATGTTGTGGATTAGGGACCCCCATTAAATGAAGAAGCAGAATATGCAGTAATAGACCATGATGGGACAGCAGACTGGCCATGAGACAGCTCACAGGTAATCAGTCAACAAAGAGAGATCTGAATGTAGTATGTTATTAATTCTTTTAGCTTGCAAAATAAACTGACTACTCACCTGCTGGTGCCAAGGATTTCAATGCTTCCAGAAGATTCGGGCTAGAGAACTTCACTAGGCACCGGAGGGGTTCTTTTCTTTCAGCCAAGATGCCTCTCTTTAAGTCACTTTTGAATTTCGTTTCAAGCTGTCAACAAATATATTTATAAATGACTACTAAACATATCGGTGTGAATGGCAAAATAAAACAGAATCAGACTGTGCATTTCATTAATTCTTATCATCAAGAAATATAGGGATTAATGGGTGGGAGAAGCATTAATTTGCTAATTGCAAAGGTAGAGGGCAACTAGCATATCAAATGATAGCACACATAAAAGGCCAAGGTGCACAGTGTCTGACTTACAGGAGACCTTGGATGTCAGTTTTGCCCACAGGTGCCCTTTCTTGCATTCTTAATGGAAAATTAGCACTACCTTTTGTTACCTGTTATTTCAGTGTAAAAATGTCATGTCTTTTCACTACCATGATTTCCTTTTTACTTCTGATTATGGAAGATTTCAAAAACATACAAAAATAAGGAGCACAGTATAATGAGTCCCATGTGCCTTATCACCCAGCTGAAACAATGACCAACTCGTGGACAGTCTTTTTTCATCTATTAACCCCCTCCTGTTCTCCACAGCCCACCCCCACTGGATTATTCTGAAGGAAATACAGGGACACCATTGTATTTCATCTATAAATATTTCAGTATGTATCTATGAAAGAACTAAAACAGGATCTTTTTCACTCCCATAACATTACCATACATAAAAAATTTAATAATATCATCAAATATCTAAGTACTGCTACTTCAATAGGTACTTGGCTCTTGGATTCTAATTTCAAAATTTTTTTAATTTACAGTAATCCTTCACATTTAGAGGCGGTGTGCTGAAATGTCTGGAGGGTGAGTAATGTCTGCAACTAATTCAAATGGTTGAGGATTAAGAAAGAAAATAAAAGAAAGTAATTGTGGCAAAATGTTAATAATTGGTGAACTGAAGCAAGGGGCCATGGATATTCACTGTAATATTCTTGTAAGTTTTCTAAAGGTTTGACAGTTTTCAAAATAAAAAGGTAAGGAAAAATTAGTAGCAGGTATGAATCAATGTGCACTTTGACTTACAGAATAGAGCCATTCTAAGATGTGTATAAAGGGAGGTTTTGCAGATTAAATCTTACGTATTCTTTTTCAATGTGGTCTCTAACTTAGCATGCTGAGTTAGCGAGAGGGCTTGTAAAAACAGATGGCTGGGCTCCACCTCCAGAATTCCTGATCCAGTAGGACTAGGGTAGGGTCAAAAATCCGCTTTTCTTTTCTTTCATTTATTTATTTTTTTAAAATTTATTGATTTAAGGGAGAGAGAGGAAGGGGGGAAGAGGAGGAGAGAGAAACTTCAATTTGTTGTTCAAATAAGCATTAGGTCTAAGTGAGCAGATTAATAGCCAATTTCAAGTGTGGCCTGTAGCTGTAGGGCACAAAGAAGAAAGAATTTTATTGGTGGGTTTAGGGGGAGGAGAGTGTTGTGAGTATAAACATAGTTATTAGAATAGGATGATCATGATTTGAATGCTCTTGTGGTGGCAATCAGCTTGTCCTCCACCCTAGCCTTTCTGGTGGCCAGTGACACACTTCTAGAATGAGCTGAGTTTACAGTACTAACTAGGCTACTGTTTTTTTATTATTTATTTATTTTTAAAAAAGATTTTATTTATTTCTAGAGAGAGGGGAAGGGAGGGAGAAAGAGAGGGAGAGAAACATCAATGTGTGGTTGCCTCTCATGTGCCCCCTACTGAGGGTCTGACCTGCAACCCAGGCATGTGCCCTGACTGGGAACTGAACTGGCAACCCTCTGCTTTGCAGTCCAGTGCTCAGTCCACTGAGCCACACTAGCCAGGGCACACTACTGTTTTTTTAATCCATATGCTACCAACCAGGCTATATAATGACTTATTTATTCAGTCTTTTATTCAACAAATCTTGTTTATTTTTTTTTATTCTATCCAAATTGGCTTTTTATTAATAGTAAAGGCTATTGGCCCTGGCCAGTGCAGCTCAGTTGGTTGGAGCTTTGTTCCGTAAACTGAAAGGTTGCGGGTTTGATTCCTTCTCTGGGCACATGCCTCAGGTGTGGGTTTATCTCTGGTTGGGGTGCGTGACCTTGGGTGAGTATTAAAAAGAATAGTAAAGACTATTTACACATAGTACTTGCAAACAGTATAGGCACAAAAATTATAAAAATAAACTAGCAGATATTTAAGGGCAAATGTAAAATTTGTACATTAGGTCATTAAAGGTTTTGTATACTTTTTTATACTGTTATTACAAACTAGATATATAAAGCAAAAAAAAAAAGGCAAGGTGCACATCAGCAACTATCATATGCTACCATTTCTGCTTTTAAAAGGAAAAAAATATAGACAAACACACTTACATGTGCAAGGACTACCTCTGGAAGATTACTTAGCCATTAAAATAGTTGTCTAAGGGACTGGATCAAGGAGTGGGAAAGAAATTGCTTTTCCTTGAATAGCCTTTGGTACAATTTAAAAATTTTTTAGAGTCAATCATGTACAAATTCTTAAATATTTTGATTAGTAATTTTTTTAAAAAACAATATTGATTTGAGAGAGAGAGAAACATCGATTTGTTGTACCACTTATTTATGCATTCACTGGTTGCTTTTTGTATGTGCTCTAATTGGGGACTGAACCCTCAACTTTGGTGTATGGGGGCAAGGCTCTAACCAACTGAGTTGCTTGGCCAGGGCTGGCCAACAAATCTTTACAAGCACCCTCTATGTTGTAAGTATTGTTCTAGGTGTTAATGGGCTAGAAAGGTATAGACTGCAATTTTTTTCCCACAGAAATACAGATCACAGCCAGTTTTACATAACTGAATTAATATGAAAGAGAAGATGAAGAGACAAATTAAAAATTTCCAAAGGTCTTTTTTACTGGTAGAGGAACTTATTAAATGTGATAGAGAAGTCTATTTTAGCTCATAAATTTATTATATGAAATTAAAGTAACAAATGAATAAGAAAGTTTTCTAGAACCATTTTCCACCGAAGGTGTTGTTCTTTTGAAAAATACTGATAACTGTAGATAGTTTATAGCAACGTCCTACCTTATACTGGGCAAATTCTAGTCTTGGTTGAGGGTAGTCTCCAAAAATTTCTTGAGTCATTCTTTGGACTCTGTCTTTTTCTATTCTGTTTTCATGAATGATCCTTGAATCCACTAGAGATGGAAGATTTCAAATAAAACATCTGTTAGAAATCTATTTCATCCTTAAAGTATCCTCCTTTCATTCCTAACCTTTTAACTTGCTTATATAATTTAAAGATAATGTTTACTGTTTCTCCTTGATTGTAATAATTTCTTATTGTAGAAAAATTGGAAAGGGCTGATTAAAAAGAAAAGCCACCCACAATTCTATCACACAGAAATAAGTACTGTTAACATTCTAATATATTCCTAACTATCCCTTTTGTCATTGACTACAAGGATGTATATTTTTAAACTGGGATTATAACAAACACAATTTTCTATTCTGCTTTCTTTACTTAACATGAATGAAATCAATAGCAGTTTCTACATCATTGTGAAGTCAAAAAAAAAGTTTAGTTCATAATGGCTGTACCATTTCATTTTACTATCATTTTAAAAGTATACTTCCAAATTTCAGTTTTTATTTTAAAACATACATACTATTTATATCTAGTCCAAGGCTTCTTTCTTGTAGAGGTGTAGTAGCGTTGTGAGTTTCAAAGGTCTAGGGGAAAAAAATAAAAAAAAAAATGTTTTCCTAATTTTAACACCTTGAAGTACAGCTGTTAGGTGGTTGTAGTACATAAAAGTATATTAAATTTTATTTTTATTTTTCTCAACAAGGAGAGACTTGAGGTCTGAGGCTTTACAGCCAGACTGAATTGAGCATTTCCTCTAGACCAGGATACTGCCGAGACTGCTGGGGTTGGCAACACGGCTGTTTTGCCTGAGGATCTCTGTACCTTGGTATCTCATAAGAATGAATCTGGAAGACATAGGTGGTGAGTGCAAAAGCTACAGAAATCAAGACAGTATTTGCAATTTGATATTTCAACTTGATAGCTATGTCTTTATAACCCTAAAAAGCTCACTGAGATTCCTTTTGGAGAAACAGCTTTCCCTACTGAAAGTCTGAATTTCTCAAATCCCTTCTCTGACCTTCTGCCATTAAAGCCACCGTTTTTTATAATAAAGTGTTTGATTATGTGAGTTTTCCTAAGAATACAACTGCCAGAGCAGAACAGTTAATATCAATTTGATGTGAGAGTGATGGGGACTGCTATGGGAGAAAAATCATCTAACTTCTTAATGTTAGATTTTTTTCCTTAAAGAGTGGCCTGCCGAGAGCCCTCACTTTTTTCTACCTAGAACAGATGAAATACGTTAAGTACAGAGTGGAGCCCAAGTAGGTTTACAATTCTGAGTAAGCAAACTTTATTCTTTTATTATTTATTATTGCATTATTTTCCATACAAACAACTGTAAATCTACTTTTGCTCCACCCTGTATAATATATGTAAGTGATCAAAGATATACACAGAACATTAGTGGTTCACCTACAGGAATCTGAACATACGAGCACACGGATACCATGCAGAGGAGCAAACAACCCGGAGCCTGTGACTATGGCCAGATCTCTTTTTCGTATTAGAGGGAAACAATGCATTTAAATAATTTTAACAGAAAAATAAATTGTGGGACTTAATAAACCAATGCTTTTTCCTTCACTTCTAACCCTTGTATCATCTGATTGACTGATGGGACAAAAATTAATTCTGCTTCTCCCAGGCATAATAGAATAATGTAATTAGCTTGAAAAGGCAGTGTTGTCATTCTAAAAAGAAAATAAATTCTAATTAGACTAGCTGATCTACAAACTGGGATCTACAGCATTGTTTTGTTTCCTTTCATGTTAACTAACTAAAAGCTTTCTCTACTTCAATAATATGTGAAGCGATCTCCTTTTGTTAGAGGTAGACTTTCCCACCTGCTCAGTGGCTTCTAACTGTTGTGTAAAGAGAAAATGGAAACTTGACTTGAAAGAATGTCATTGATCAGCTCACCTGATTATACTCTTCAAAAACAATAGCCTTAAGAGAGTCCAGATATCGGCTTCTGAAGTCCATTTTCACAATCCGATGGTGTTTGCTAGCAATTGTCAGTGCCTCAAAGTGAAAGTTATGAGACTATTAAAATTACTGTGTCTATTCTCATATTTATAATATTCATCACAGTAAAATTAGGAGTTGCAGTAAATGAATAGTTTCCACTTAAGAGTGAAAAGAAATGCAGAAAAATGTAATCTCATGTCCTGTTACTCAACTTAAAAAACAAAAAAATGCCTTAATGGCATTAAAATCACCATAAATACAAAGTCTTTTGTACCATTTTTAGAGATATGATCCTATTTAAAGTTAGGAATTTTAATAAGTTCAGAATTAGAAATAAACAATGAATACTCAAATGTTACCATTTTAGACTACCAGTAATCTAATACTACAATAATAATGCTACACAAGAATGCAAATATGTATGCTTTAGGACAAATATTGAAGAAAAAATTACATATTAAATGCAATTTATAAAAGCTCCCCATTATCTGGGGAAACACGTTAGAAGTCTGAAACAGAATTAGTAAGGTAAGGTATTTACCTGGAACTAGAGGGTAGAGATAAGTTTGCCTTAAAATACACAAAGGAAATAAATACTAGCTTTTGGGGTAATGTTTAAGCTAGCTGTTGCAGGGTGGACTCACATGGCTGTAAGTGAATGAATGACCACTATGAATTATGGAGGAAGAGATCCCAAACATAAAGAAAGAGGTAGTAGGTAAAAGGGAAATAGAAGCAAGAAGCCGTAGAAATCTTCCTGCCATTTCACTAAATAGCCAAGGAATTTAAATGACAAGCAAGTCTATCTGCTGGGATACAATAGGGCTCAGATCCACAACCCTGGAGTGCATGGTCCACTTAGCACTAGAAGTAACGTAGCCAGGATGATGGAGCTGCTCACTTACAACCAGCTGAAATGAGAGCTCTGGCACCAACTGAGGTGCCACTGTAGTTGTGAACATACATAGAGAGCAGAAGTAGCAGCAGTCACCAGGCCCATGTAGGGATGGCTTATTCTGGGGAAAGGTGCTACGAAGCCAGAGCCATAGCAAGAAGCAGGCTCTGAATGTTAAAGCAGTCTTCTTACATACAGAATGTGGAGAAAATGGCTAAAAGTGAAAATAATGTTCATTAATAGGCAAATTATGCAGTCACAAAAATGTAATGAGGTATATCATAAGGAACCACATGGAAATGTTAAAAGCAAATGACAGATGGTTTTTATAATAAAACATCTGAAAGAAAAGAACAAACTGTTAATAGTAGTTATGCTGGGTGAATGGGATTAGGGAAAAGGGTATGAAGTTTTAAAAGACTAACTGCTGATCTTTAGAGACTTCTGTGTTGGTTAAATTTTTACATTAAACTTGCATTACTTCTAGATTAAAAGACAATAAGAAGAGCTCCAAACTAATGCTTTCACCACTTTCCCATTTGCAGAAGAACCACACTTGCTTATTTTAGGAAATGAAGACTTACATGTGGCATTTTTATATACAATGCGTAAACCTACATAGACCTCTAAGATAGGATAATAAAATTTTAGAGCTGTAGTAATTGGTTCCATACCTGGCCCAGAAGGGGAATACTGCTCCTCAGCTGCGAGGAAGAAATGAAGGCATATGGAGTCTGGGGATAATACACCACATACGTAGGTTTGTACTGGTTTGGCTTTCTGTACTGTGTTCCCCAGGCAATTCGAATCCAGACTGCGTTCTCCTCAGTGTCTCTGAAGATGACCGATACCTTATTAAAAAAAAAAAGAAATATTTAAGTTTCCCAATTAAAATCTTGTGGCACCAAGAAAGAACACATGCTCTTTAGGGGTGAAGGGGGTCATCTTCCACACAGCCTTTTCTCCAGCTTTTCATTACAGTGCTTTGGAAATCTTTGAGAAAATATTTTGTGGTTGTTTTGTAGACAGATATATGCCTTGCAAAGTCTTCTGGAAGGAAGAGAATTTTTAAATCTACAATCAGGGTATGATATCAAAATTTTTCAATAATTTCTTGGGCCTGAAAAGCTGTGTTCCTCTACCCATGAGAGTTTATGAAGGCAACCTTACACATGATGTACTTGTTTTAAAATGGAGCCCTTTTAGAGGTGAAAGAATTAAGCAAAACAAAACAAAAAACTCACAAGCACAGACAACAGTATGGTGATTACCAGAGGGAAAGGGGGGTATAAGGTAGGAAGGATAAAGGGGTAATAAATGGTGATAGAGGGAGACTTGCCTTGGTGAACACACAATATAATATACAGATGATGTATTATAGAATTGTACACCTGAAACCTATATACTTGAATTAAATGTCACCCCAATAAATTCAATTAAAAAATGGAGCCTTTTTAGCATAGAGCGTGCACTATAAAATTTAATAGTAACATTTAATATAGTAATACACTTAAAAAATACTAATCCTAATGCTTTTATACATTTAGCTGAGATGCTAAAAATCACTCTAAAGGAAAGTTATGTGGTGAGAATACAGGAAATTCTACCTGGTTTCCATTTCGTGGATAAAATGTAAACCATTCTAAAATTTTAAATATAATTACCAGTTAGTCTGGAATTTAGTAACCTACTCTTTAGTAGCTCCCCCTTGATTCAGCTTCCCCTTGGAGCTCAGATCCGGCAAAGGAGGCACTGAGACAGGTGTACTTGGCTGGCCCATGCCTCCTTATTTCCTCCCTCTTGTGTCTTACTCCAGATAGAAGGTCGTGACATTGCTGCCGGCATTAAGAAGGCAGTTTCTTTGACTCTGCCCACTCTTTATTTGGCTGCTGTTCCAAATTCCCTTGGGGCATCATATAAGGAACCCTCCCCAGGTGTGGGTGTGGAGGGTGCAGAGCTGTCTGGCTTTCCCTGAGTGATGGGCCCTGACAGAGGGACCACTACTGCCCTGAATGGAAGACTGAGTCTTATTCTGAATGGTCTCTGTGTCACGTTACCAAAGCAAAAAGACCTGTAAAATCAAGACTGAATACAGTATATGGAGGGCACAGTTTAATTAGGAGGATAAAACTGGTAGCACTCAATATATTCAGGTAGTCTCTCTGGCTCAGAATGAGAATCTTTTAAGTGACGGTTCATGGAGGGACTTAAAGAGACCTGTGACCTCCCTGAATTGGACACACAGTCAGGGGTACACATCTAAGTGTATGCTTTTCTGGAGAGAGGTTCTGGATCACTTACCAATATTTTCATAAGGGTCTATGGTCCAGAAAAGGTTAAAAAAAAAACCCAAAGGGCTAAGAGAGAAGGATGTCCCCGCATCAGTCTAATTCTGGCCCAGCTAGCATCCAGGTGTTCCAGCTCACATATAGACTTCTGTTATTTTCCAAAGAAATCATCTTAAGAGATATCATACTGCAATAGTTGGGATAAAGCATTTTTCACTAACAGTAGCTTAGATCAATAATGCTCCAGCTTTACTGGGTGACTAATCCCACCAAGGTTCCTAAGTGGTTTGGATAACCTGACACTGTACCATCCAGGGGTGTCCAACCCATAGCCCAGGGTGGCTATGAATGCAGCCCAACACAAAATCATAAATTTACTTAAAACGTTATGAGACTTTTTTTGTTTTTGTTAGTGTCTGTGTATTTAATGTGTGGCCCAAGACACCTCTTCTTCCAGTGTGGCCCAGAGACACCAAAAGCTTGGACACCCCTGCGACTATCAGTTGCTGGCTACCACCAGCAAGCGACTAAAGATATAAAAAAAGGTTACTGTGAGAATCAAGTGAACCTTGTGACACATAGAAATGCCACATATTTAACTGATACATGATATACAGGCATAAAAAATGAGTAAATGTAGTTTTTATAATTGAAACATTGTTTTCACTTGTCTCTTATTTTGTAAGTTTTCCGAGAACTTTGTATTCTGAATAGTTTTACCACCTACCTCCACCCCCGCCCCGCCAAAGGCTCTGCATTGGATCCCTGAACTATAGACCCCATCCATCACTTCCCAGTTAGGTTCCCTGTGCCTTCTTATACCAGCTTCTCTACCCTATTGATTCAAGGGTAGAAGTTCTTAACCTGAAGTCCATAGTTAGAATTCAGGGTACCTATGAACTTGGTAGGGGGAAAATTACATCTTTATTTGCACTATTTTCTAATTGAAATTTATCATCTCCTTCAATTGTGAAGGTAGGTAACAAAACAGTAGATTTTTAGGACCAGCTACTTTGTTGTTCATAGAAATCCCAAATTTTTTAAAATCACATTATAGTTGTTGCAGATGCCTCAAAAATTTACACCCATTACTATGTTGAAATTAGTTGTCTGTAGACCCACCATGAGATTATTTGTGTTAAGAAACACATGCATTAACTGTATAACAATTTAGTATTTTAATACCTTGCATACCTTGTATACTTTAATATCCTGTATAATTGGTTTCTCTTGTAATTCTATGTATTTTATAGCATTTAAAAACACTCTTCTGAGAAGCTGTCCATAAGCTTCACTAATGGCCAAAGGGGCTCCTTGGCACAAAAAAGTTAAGGTGCCTGTCCTAGAGCAGCAGGTGAGTCACTCTTCAATCCTGAGTACCAGGAGATGCCAGTTGGCATGACATCACCATCACCAGCCTTCCAGAGAGTGGGGTTATCCGTCGCTGGTTATATTTTGAGGACAAAAGTGAAGATGAGCTGGGAGTCCCTGGTCATTTGAGAAAAGGGGTTAGGACATGCTGACCAGCTAAGAGTAGGGGAACTATGGATAGAGAAGACACAGGAGCTTTACTTGTACATCTCTATCTTCTAAAACGTACAGTGTCCACAGCACATCAGTCTCTAGGCGACCTTTCAAACAGGACAGATATGTCCCATGACGAACCTCCTTTGTTCCCCTAGCCTCTCCGGCTAGTCTGCTTGAAATCCATTCAGGAGGCAAAAACTTCTGGAATATGGCAGTGATAAAAAGAGAAGAAAGTGAACGACTCAATACATAGGCATTAAAGTAGGAGGAAATATGAGGGTTTCAGACTCTTCTCCTTGAATGGTAGGGGCAGGAGGCATGGGGCTCAGAGAACATAAGTTCCTGTTGTCGAAGAGAGACATTGAAGAGAGGGCACTGAAAAGGAAGGAAGAAGAGAGACTCTGAACTGAAGCTCTCTGGGAGGCTTCTTGGTTTGGGCGAAGTAGTGTGGGAACACTGCCAAGAGTGGTCTTCAAAATGAGTTGGCCAGTACTGTTCAGCTTCATAAAAAGGCTAGTTCCAGAAAGGTCCAGACCATAAATCCACAACACTTATGGAGAGTTGGCCAGGGGCTCTGAGCCAATGAGGCTTTGTATTAAAAAAAAAAAAACAAAAAAAAAAAAGGCCACTCGATGTGCCACACTCAAATGGGACTCTATTTTCATCTCTGAAAGTTTACAATTTCATTGTAAGAATATTCTTCAACTAGTATAATCAAAAGTAACTTAGGTACAAGGTATAAAAAAAATTTATTTATAAAAGAGAAAAAAAAGGAGAGACATATCTTCTCTTGGCTTGCAATTCTCCTTGAATGAATTTATAAATTAAATGAATCCCCACTCACAACGCTCAAGATTTAGTTTGTTTTATAAATCTGATAAAATGATTCTAAGGTTCATCTTGAAGAATAGTCAAGATGTTTCTGATAAAGAAGAATAATCAGGGATGGGGCAGGGTGAACTTGCCTTAATGGTTATTAAAATATTAAAAAAACTACAGTGATGGAAGGAATGGGGGGTGGTTTGCAAAGCATGTGACCGATTCATTTATTCCCCAGTATTTGTTGAGCCCCTGCCTGGGTTGGTGGGGAGCAGGATGGTCAGGGTTCTGCTCTCAGAGAGCCTACAGGCCGGGGAAAACTGACAGTAAACCCAGAACATGGGAAGGGTTGGTGACAGGAGCACAAGACAGGCAGGCAAGCAGTTCAAGTCAGGGAAGCACTCTGAGGGAGCACCATTTAAGTGGGGGTCAAAGGGATAGGGGGGAATGAGCTGTGCAAAAACCAGGTGGTGGAGGTTGTTTCAAGGAGAGGGAACAGCCTGTGCTAAGTTCAAGAACTCAAAGAAGATTAGTTCAGTTTGGCTGGAGGGTAGAGTACAGCTGACGACACCTGAGAGGCAGGCACTGCATCCAGGAGGACATGAGGGGAAACAGATCAAGGAGTAGAAAAACACAGACTCTATTAAGTATGAATGAACCTGAAGATTCCAATGACGATAAACCCATGGAAAAAGCTGAATTAGTAAACAAATGTTGGGATAAGTCATTAGCTTCTGAAAGAGAAATGATTAATGACTCTATTCCTCTCTTCTTCCACCAAAGAAAGTTCCTGTAGCTTAACTTCATTGGTGGAGGGCTGAGTGCAGAACCTTGTGGGATGCTCTAGTCAAGGGCAGAAATAAAGGAAAGAAGTTAGTCACGGAGACAGTACAGGAGCAGTTTAGGATGCATAGAAGACAACCAGGAGAAGACAGATGTTTAAGAACAAGAGGGTTTGACTGCCAGTTGTCTCAGGGCGTGACTTTGAGCACAAGAAATGGATGTTGTGCATCTTTTTTCAACAAAATTGTTTAATTTTTAGAGAGAGGGGAAGGGACGGAAAAGGAGAGGGAGAGAAACATCAATGTCATAAAGAAACAATGATTGGTTGCCTCTTGTACGCACCCAGGCTGGGCACTGAACCCACAACCCAGTCATGTGCCCTGACTGGGAATTGAACCAGCGACCCTTAGCTTTGTGGGAAGACACCCAACCAACTGAGCCACACTTCTCAGCGTTGTTGTGCATCCTTCTAGCCCCAGCATCTGGCACATGGCAGAGAGTAAGCTGAGAAGGCCTGCCCTGTGTAGATGTGAAGAGCATGGCCTAGAGCCACCTGCCTAAGTTTAAACCCTGGCTCTGCCATTTTCAGCTGTGTGACCCAACTTGTTTCATCAGCAGGATGCAATTAGTATTTGGAAAGGGGTTCATATAGGGCCTGGCTCATGCGGTGTTTGCAATCAGCACAACTGTTGAAAGATAACAGGCCACGGGATTTTGTGATAAATAGCACTCGCACCCCTCCAACAGGGAGGTTCTCAAACTTGACTGGGCATCAGCATCACCTGGAGGACTTGGGCTCCCTGCCAGTCTCTGATTCAGTAGGCCTCAGGTAGAGCCCAAGTATCTGCATGTCTAACAAGTTCCCAGGTGATGCTGATTCTGCTGATCTGGGGATCACTGTGAGAACCAATGCTCATCAAAACTCAGTTTCAGTCTGTCAGTGAGGGCAGTAACCAGGTGCAAGGGACTTATGCGTAAAGCCAGCAAGGATGGAGTACCCTTTCAAAAGGTCTTTTTGGGGAGGTCTTTGAAAGGGAGCAATAAATAACACCTCTCTCCTCTATCCTATTGAACAATAAGAAGTAAGGCAATAGAGTTGGTAGGTAGAGGCCAACATGTAACTCATGTTACCAAGAAGCTGGTGACTGGTTTATGTCTGCAGGCAAGTGGTCCTCTGGACAATTAAAACCCAGAGTCAGGCAGAGCTGCCCATGTGGCCGCTGGCAGAATCACTCTGGGTGGCCTCCCTTGCAGGGGCAGAGCCAGGCCCAGGAGCAATAGACCAGATTAGGTGCCCTCTGCAGGCAGCTGCGCTCACTCAGGTTAAGTCAGTGCTCCTGCTGGAGAAAGGCGAAGGGGTGGTGGTGAAGGGAGACACCTTCTACATGAGGGATGTATCAGGAGCAAGAAATATTTCCTTCCAAGTGTTTTATGCTTAATGATGGGCACAGAGAATGGATGTACTTTTACTGAGACTTGGGCATATTTATAAGTGGTAGAGTAGGTATCAATAGATGAAGAGGTTGAGAATGTGAAAGACGAGAGAAAAACCAAGCACGTAGGCCCTATGAGGATGTAGAAGATGGGTTCAGAGCACACACAGAAGGGTCCTTGTAAGAAAGGAGAAGAGAGAATATATACAGCGACAGGTGGCTACACGGAAAGAATGAGGGAAGTTAAGAAGGATGAGGTAAGGAGAGGCAAAGATAGATCAAGGAATTTGTGTATGAAAAAAGAGGGAACACTATTATTCTAGGGAGGACAAATATAGTATGGTGAATAAGACAGATTTTTTGGCATGTCTTTATTGTGTAAGGAGGACTAAGGCAGACAAGGTGGAAAGAGAATGAAGTAGGACAGGTTGTCAGAAAAAAGGATCACAAGATAATAAGGTGGTGCTTTTGGAAACGGAAGTAAGATTCTTCGAGGGCTCTCAAGATGCACTGACCAACACAGGAGCCACTAGGCACTCAGGGCTATTGGACTAAAATTCGTTGCAATTAAGTTAGATCAACATTTTAGTTCCTCAGTCACACTAGCCACATTTCAAGTGCTCAGTGGCCACATGTGGCTATTAGCTAGTGTACTGGACTGCACGACATAGAGCATTTTTATCATCGCAGAGAGTTCTATTAGATGGGGCCGCTCTTGAGGAAGAAGCATTTGCCCTTGAATTGAGAAGTGAGGGGAGAGCAAAGTTTTCATGATAAAAAGTCTATCTTTGTTATGGACTAGAATTGTGCAGAATATTACTAATTGAAATTCTTACAAATAAAAAAAAAGGAGTAGCATATTTTTAAGTGCACAGATGCCATGAAATTGAATTCAGAAAGATTGGGTTCTTACATTTTTTAATGCTCTTTGAAGAATTTTCTTAAACGAACTTTTGAATTGTTTCATATCAAAAAGGTCAATGTCTTCACCTGTCAAAGTGAAAAGAGAAACCAAGAAAAATTAAGAGCTACAATGTCTCCAATACATTTACAAAGACCCTGAGGTGAGCATTTTGTGTAATCTCAAAGATCAAATCACACAAATACTGCTGGTATTCTGACATAGCACTGCTAAATATTTTGTTCATTTTATCATAAATGAGTAATAATTACCTCATTTTGAAAGAAAAGAGATTTAAGAGGAACGTACTGCTGTTTATTTTCAAATTGACAAAATATCCAGTACAAATGTTCACTTTAAAAGGGAAAATGTGGAGGTGGGGGTTGGAGGCAGTTAGCACGGCAGCCTCCGCTCCCCTGATCCTACTGTGGCAGCGCAAGGGGGGTTGTGCCTCCTGTAGGACCAGGACAGGACAGGGGTTGGGGGTGGGGGCAATAAAATTAAAAAATAATATAAAAACAAAAGGGAAAATGTTACCTGGTTCTTTAGTCATCTGAAAAACATCCCAGACTTTCTGGTGCCGATGAAATTGAGTATCTGAGGGAAGTAGAGCTTATTGCTATTGTGTCATAGAACTTTTAAGTAATGTGCTTATAAATATATATTTTTAATAACACAAAGGTGGAGAAAGTAACAGTGATTTACAAACTAGGTTATACATTTTTATTCAAAACACAAAGTTTACATGGATTAAATTTACTCCAGACAAATGAAACACATCATAAAGAACTACTCAATCTATTAGAGCTTTAGCATTTACTCCTAAGTCAGATCACATATTCTCTTTCTACACAGAATGCTGCATTTATTGAACAGGTCAGGGATAATGTGCTCCCTGTAACTGGTGTGTGCACTGGCTGGATGTTCCTTTGTCTGGAGCACTTTTCTCCTCACTCATTGCAGACTTCATTCCCACACCTCATCTAAGTCTCTACTAAAATGCCACCTATGCTGTGGCCTACCCTGATGACCCTACCCAAACTGACACCCCCATCCCACGCTGCTTTAGTTTCCTTCACTACCTGACATTGCAGCATATATTTAAATGCTCATTTATATAGTGCTGGTCTCTCCAACTAGAATCCTGTGACACACAGGACTTTGTCTTGTTCAAAGTGCTTGTCTAGACACTGGCTGGCATGAAACGAGCACTCTGTATACACCTGATGAATAAATGGATGAATAAACATATGATATAGAAGACACCCTTCAGGAATTACAAACTTAAGAGGGTCTTGGAGTAAAAATGGACCAAGGAAGTTAAGTTTAATCCCACCACATTATCATCCTGGATTTACTCTGTCCCTGCACGGACCTCTGTCTGCATCCCTCTGTCTTTGTACCTAGGATGAAGGTGCTCTGTACCCCATAAAAAGGGGCTGTTGGCCCCAACACTCAAGGGCATGAACTTGCTGTACTGTTCGTACTTTTCTGTCCTTCCTACAATGTAGTGTCTTTTTTTTCATTATAGGGTGCCTTGGTGTCCCCCTCTCCTCCCATCTGAGGCAATGGCCTGACAATTCTTGATTACCCAAGTTTTGTCTACAACAGCTGTTGCCTGGCACAGTGTGATGCCTGCCCAAGAGACAGCATCCAAAGGGTTTTTGTTCCTTTCTGGTATTTTCTTCTTGGTTCTGTGTTTCAGAGTTAATATGGCCTGCTAATTGATCTCTGAATAAGGTTGTTATAATAATAATAGATATTAAAATTTTTTGTTGTTAATGATTCCATTAAACATCGCACCAAAGTTCATGACAAGTGACAAGGACTTAAATACACATGAAGACATTTCCTCAAATACAGTATGTCCTAGACTAATCCATGATCTTTGTGACAAACTTGGTCTACCTATAGTGTTCCCTAACTCAGCAAGGAGCTCCATTTTCCTTCTAGTTGCACCTACAGACCCTGAAGCCAAGCATGCTCCTCCCACTCAATTCCCTGAGACCACACCTCGTGCAAATTCATTTTAATCCTCACATTCAAGATGTATTATCATAAGACCAAATTTTCAGAAATATATTTTAAATTCTGTTAATAATAATACAAATCCTAACAGATATTTACTATGTGCTTATTATATGCCAGATACTGTACTAAGAGCACTTCAAACATTATTTCCTTTAACCCTTATAATAATCCTGTGGCTATATTGTTATAATATTATTATATTAACAGGTGCTATTATTATTTCCGTTTTACTTAGTAGAAACCTGAGGCCTAGAAAGGCAATGTGACTTGGCAAAGGACACAAGACTGGTAAGTGACAGAACTGGGATTTTTACACATCAGATTAACTTGACTCTAGAATCTGAGCCCTTACATACAAAACTGCCTCTCTGATGAAACTGGATTGGTTAAATGTAAATACAAATCACCAGAACTTACAAATGATGTCTAAAAGGGCAGCATCATTGACACTTGCACGGTTCTCCTGAAAGAGAAGGTAAAATAATCAGTAAATATGGCTATAGATTTGATTCTACCCCATTCATAGCACATTTGCTTAGAACAGACTAAGAGCACCCATTCAATACCTTACTGACAACCTTTCTCCACTCTATGCTCTCCTGTTAAGTAACAAATACACCTTTTGATTCATGTTTCAGGACGGACACTCACAACTGTTTTCCCACAATCTACTCCTTACTTATCACTTTTAACTTTTTGTTTTTTCAGTCAAGCTTCTGGACTTCCCCTACAACAGGGTTTCTTATCTAGGCACTACTAACGTTTTGAGTCAGATAGTGCTATGTTGTGGAGAGCTGCCAGAGGATGTTGAGCAGCGTTCCTGGCCTCTATCTACTGGAAGCCAGCAGCACCTGACTTGCACAGTTTTGACAATGAAACATGCCTTCAGACATTGCATTCTCTGGAAGACAGAATCATCCCAGCTGAGAACTATGGTTCTATACATATACAGTTATATCTATGCATAGCATATAGTTTCTTTCAATGTATACACAAAGGTCTAGTTTATTCTTCTTAATGGCTGAAAAATATTTTGTTATGTGGATGTATCATTGTTCAGCTAATCTTCCATGTATAGTTGTTGGCAATTTTTTTTAAACAATGCTAGTTAACATCTTTATTTATATATAATTGCTTACATATTTATAACTCCATGTATAAATGTTTGTCAATTATATTTTTATATATGTATCTTTATTTGTAATGATTTTATGCACATGAATTTTCAAAAGTGGAATTGGTGGGTCATAAAGTGTATTTATTTAAAAGTAAGGGTATACCGGAATATGGGAATTCTTTGTATTAGCAACTTTTCTGAAAGTCTGAAATCATTTTAAAACAAAAAGCAAGTAAGTAAATAAATACATGTGAAAGAGTGCCTCTTTCTGTACAACCTGACCAACACATCTCAGTATTACTATGTTTTCATCTTTGACAATCTGATGGGTAAAAAAAGAATACTGCTCATTACTATCACTTGTTTTTCTCTCCCATGGTATTCATGTTTTTATTAATGATTTGTAAGCAGTTTTGGTACATTGAAAAGTCAATTAAAAATTAGTATCTTCTCCACTATAGTAGTACTAGTCTCATCACTTCACAGTTTAGCAGCTGCTTCAAATCTCTTTTGAACTAAGATAAGGAAAGAAAAAGAAAAACAAAGGGGGTAACACATTGTTCAATGTTAATCATTTTGAACATTGTTACCTCACAAAGCAGAACCAAGTCATGAACAAGAGATTCCTTTCTCTTCCGGAAGTTTATGTTCTGCAGTTGATTTTCAGATAAAAAATCCCAGGCTTTTAGGATTGTCATCATTTCAGTCATTGGGATTTTCAAGATGGTTCTCTTCATAAACTCAGCAACAGTTTCATCCATTTCTTTGGCACTTTAATAAAACAAAAACAGCACAAAAGATAATAACCAGCACAAAAATTTAACTTACCAGTGAATTTTTTTCCAGCATATTTTTAGCTGGGATTTTGATTTGTAGGTCAAACGCCCAAATGTTTATTTTACCTTTCTCAGGCAATCTGCAAAGTGTTTCAGCAAGAGGTTTTATTTATTTTTTCCTTGAGCTGTATATTTAAATATGTTTTAGAGTTTTAAAAAGTTAGTGCTCTCTCTCCTTCCTTGGCTAGAGTATTTTGATCTTTTGATGGCAATGATATGGGAATCATGAATTCATTTACCTATTCATGTAACAAGTTCCTGGGCACTGACTATGCCAGGCACTTTTCTGGGCACTGAAATTAAATACATCTTTAACCAAAAAGGTAAAAATCCCTGCCCGTATGGAGCGTCCTTTCTACTTGGGAGAGACAGGCAACGGGAAAGTCACAGTATGTATTTAAAGTGGTAAGTGCTGCAGAGAAAACGGAGTAAGTCGTGTTAGGACACTAGTACTAGTGAAAATGGAGCAGGTTGGGAATGAGGTAGAAGTGGGGGTGGAGAGAGTAGGTCCCACAGAGAAGGTGACATTTGAGCCAATCCTTGGAGGAGTAAGCCATGTGGCTAGGTATTGGAAGAGTTTTCCAGGCAGAGGGAAGAGCAAGCACAAAAGCCTTGGGGCCGTCAAGGAAGAAGGTCTCCAGGGAGGCCAGAAGAAGGAGCACAGAGGAGGTGAGGTCAGAGATCACAAGGGCCCTGAGGGCCACTGCAAGGATCTTGGCCTTGACTCTGACAGAAACCAACTTCTGGAAGGTTTTGAGAAGAGGCTGGATATACTCTCACTTAGGTTTCCTATCAGGATTAATCTGGCTCCTGTACTGAGAATGTAGTCTAGGAAGAAGGGAGAAAACAAGGATGCCAGCTAGGATGCTACCTCAATGATGTAGGTTAGAGAGATGATGGGTAGACCAAAGTGGAGGTCAGATTCCGGATCCACTTTTAAGAGAGAGTCCACAGGATTGCCCAATGGATTAGATGCGGCGTGTTTAGCAAGAGGAATCAAAGATGATACCAAAGAAACTGAAAGAATGAAGTGGCTATTACGTGAGATGGGGAAGACTACTGGCAGCAGTGAGGGGGGCAGAGGAAAGCTCAAGAATTCTGTCTTGCACACGTAAATTTTAAGGTTAATTTTTAGACTCTAAGTGGAGACACTAAATAAATAGCTGCATTTATCACAAGACACAATGAAAGCTTGAGGTAGAGAGGATTACAGTCTCTTCTCCAATGCATTGCTAATTAACATAGAGCTATTACATCACTTTTCCAGCCCCATGCCTGAAGGTGATTCTTTAACTGTCCAAAAAGTCTTGCCACAAATCTGGTGTCACTCCCTCAGCAACAGACGGGGTAATGATCTTCTGGAGCATAACTTAGTGGCTCTCTTAAAGCTGTGGCACAGGGAAGGGGGATTCTGAGCCCTTTTATGACTTCCTTCAGGGAAGAAGCTGTAGGCCGAGGGTGACAGGTGATCTCAACTCTTACTACCTCATTTGAAGATGCTAATGGGCATCTCTCCCTCAAAATATAAGACAGAGCAAGGCAGGCAAGTATGATTTCTAAACAAAGATTAAGTAGGGTATCCTCAGACTTTAAATACCCTCAACAGCCTATCTTCTAGGAAAGAGCATACAGACCTTGGTGTCCGTGTTTAAGGTAAGAGGCAATATATCGATCTAATTTGCTGTCACCACAACTACAGGATTTCTAAAGACAGAGGCATATCCCTCACAGGAATCCTGACTGTGTTTATTTCTACCATTTAAGTGTGTGTTGAACACTGCATATAAATTATTACCACTGACTACTTCCAAAAATATATGGATCTTGACTGTATTTTAAAAAGATACTGAAAACAATAGTTACAGCAAAAAAAGAGGAACCACTGAATCGTTTACAAAAATAACTGAGTGAAGAACATGAGAACAGAATTAGTCTCATGAAAACGACCTTAAGGTCAAGACTGAAATCCTCACAAGGCCCTGCACTGTTTGGAATTTTGCCTCTGTCCCCATCATCTACCTCTATCTCCTTGGCTTTCTGAGCTCCAGCTACATTAGCCTTTTAGTTCCTCTAACACAAAACGATCCCCCCAGCAAGGCCCATCATATCTGCAATTCTCCCTGTCTAGAATATTCTTTCTGCAAATACGCACATAAGCAAGTCTTGCTCTAATTCAGGTCCCAGTTCAGATGGCTTCTCAGGAAGACTTACTCTGACCACCCAATCTAAAGTTATTTCCCCACCTTCATTGCTTGTCTTTGACAAAACTAACTGAACTTACCTTGCTTATTGATTACTTTATTGCTTAACAATATTTTACCGAGCTCCACTAGGGTAGGAACTATGTCTTATCCCTGGCTCTATCCCTAAATGACAAATACTGTGGAATGAAGCATTACTTTCCTTAAGCAGTGTGCCTGAGGGGATAACCTAGGTCGGATAAGGTTCCAACAAACATCAAAAACAATAGAGGTGGGGGTGGTCTTGTTAAAATGCAGATTTCTGGGCCTTACCGATTTAAACTGGGGCTGGGGCGGGGGGGCGGTGTCACCGAGCAGGGCTTGGGATTCTGCCTTTTAGAGTGTCTGAGAAGATTCTGTATTTTGGATAGTTTGCAGAATGCCATTCTAAACAATTTTGGTAGAAAAGAGCGCACTCAATGTCACCAACAAAGCTGGAAAACTCTTGAGTAAACTCTGATTCCCTGTGATTATCTAATTTCTTATTTTCTAGTACATAGCAACTCAGTGCCTGGAATATAGAAGGTGGTCGAGATATATTTATTGAATGAACACATGACCAAAAAAAGCTCTTTCAGGTAACTTTCTTGTAGAGCTACACCGCTTAAGAACTGCAATAAGGAGCATAAGAATTGAACGCGAGAGACTGCGTGGACGAAAACGGACGGAAGCCAAGCTAAACGGAAAAATCAAAACACCCAACTCTGGACAAAACAGCAATCCAAAGCTGGGATAGTTGAGGAGCCGGTCACGTGACAATTCTGGGAGGCTCGGCACCGCGCACGCTAACGCAAGTCCCCGCCCCAACATGGGCGGACGTGAGGTCACAACGAAGCTTCGTTGCCCTCTCTATCCTAAGTCTCTACCATAGTCCATGCCCCTCCTCCTCCAGCCGAGACCGAGCTCCAATCCCGCACCTTGGGACGTGCGGCAGCCGCGAAAAGGTCGCCCCAGAGGCTTGGGATGTGGGTTCCTCAAGGCTTCCGCCACCCTCCAGCGCACGATGCGCTGTCACTAGGTTCTTACCGTTCACATCGCCAGCCGTCTCACTCCACACAGCTGTTCCCGCCCGCTGCGCCTTCAAAGCCGCCAATTGCAGTTCCCGCCGCTCTCGAGTCCTGCCCACTAGGGGAGGGCAAACTTTGGACTGTACCCTCAGCGTAGGGGGTCTCGTGGGAAGAGCTGCAGAAGAGAAACTCAGTGAGTCCCCATGTCACTTTATTAACAGATAATATTGTTTAAATGCAGTTATTCTCACCAGTGACAGCTGACTTGTTGGTTCATCTTGCTCTTTAGGCTTTGCCGTGTCGCTGTGGACTCGGGACCCTGCCACCACCCACTGTAAAATGGGCCCGTCCAGACTGGGTGGCGCATGCGCCTCAGAGGCCACGGGAGGCTGGGGCGCGTCGAGCGGGTCAACTGTGGAGGGCACAGGAGTATTCACCACCTGGAGTTCCCCTCGCCCGCGCGCAGGCAAGCCGGCCTTTGGGTGAGGAGTCTTCGCTGGTGAATACCACTTCAGCCCTCCTGGTGTGGCCGCGAGTCGGGTGAGTGAGGGTTCAGAGGAGCGCTCTCTTTTCTGACCGCGACGTCCGGGGAGGCCGCGGTAGACCCACCTGTCTGTCTCTCGGCCCCTGCTCTCGTGCGCCCCCCGGCGCAGCGTCGTTTCGGCCGGGACTTTCTGTTGTCCTTGGAGGTTGGGATCTGGAAGGCCCGGTTCTTAGGGTGGCAGTTGCCTCCGCGTTGGCGGTTTTGTCTGGGAGGCTACAGGTGCGCCCTGAGTTGTCCGCCCCCAGGTTTCTGCTGAGGACCTGCTTGCTAGTATTTGAGGACAAGCTTTGTCCTAGATCTTTCACTCTTCTGCAGGCTCTCCCGCGGCTCTCGAGTCTTGTGACTGGGCGGGCTTCTCCGCTCCCTGAGCCTCGGCTGCCTCGCCTGTAAAATGGTATAAATCCATTGCTTCAGTTGTGAGAAGGGAAGACCTTAGCACAGTGTTTGACATGGTGAGCGCTCAGTACATTGTATGATTATTGTTATTGATTATGTAGTTTAGAATTTGCAGGCCGAAGATGGGAGCTTAGGGCGCATCTCAGCTCCCATGAGAGTTGCCATCAGTCCATCCGGCGATGGGAATCCCTTAATATGCCTATGAGTACACTTTTCAACCAATGTAGACGTTTATATCTCTTTTATTCGGTTTGAAGATTACCGTGCCTATGGTTTCCCAATAGGGGATTTAAGTAAATCCGAGTTTTGGAAATCGTCATTGAAAATTTTAAATGCATAAGAGAAGTTTGCGCTGGCAAAGGTTTTTGTTGTGACGCCCTTTGTAACTCCTTTCCTATGCATACAGGCTCTCTCACTTGTTCAGTTGATTTAAAATGAGCCTCACTTCCACCCTTAAAAACAAAAAACCTATGTTGAGGTCTGAACCAATTTTCAAATCTATGATAGTCCTAAACTCACCATTCAGTGAACATTTACTATATGCAGTTACAAGAATACTCCGTCATTAGCTTGTGCGTTCTTTGAGGTGTATGGACTGATTTTTCCCCCTGAAATTCATGTGATTTGGCAGTGCTCAGCACCTAGTAAATGCTAGTTAAAGTGTTTAGGGAAAGCTACAACTTGGCCTATTCCTTAAGAAACTATGTGATGGAAGTTAGAGTCCTACGCAGTCCTTCCCATAAAGCACAGGGGTTGCTCTCAGTAGTGGTGGGCATGGTCTGCACATTGGGCAACCAGTCACTTAATAGCACCTGTTTAGATTTGGTCACTTTGCAGCTGTGATAACTAAGTAGAAGTGGGTAGAATTCAGTAGTCCCCTGTTATCTGCTATGTTTGCTGCCTCTGTTGAATATGGTGCATAGTTTGAGACAGTTGGAGAAGTACTAATTTAATAATTCCAGTGCATTCTGAAATGCAGACTTTAAAAAGTGTACTCTAGAAAGCTTTAAATATTAGTTTACAGGTTTTTCTGGAGAACAGATTTTTCAGAGACTTTTCTGTCCTTCTGCGTGTTTAAAAATGAGATTAGAAATTGCAGCTGTAGCATAAATTTATTTCTGGCACAGCCACATAATAGCAAAATCTTTCTAAAGAAAACAAAAGTGGCATTAAAATGGGTTTTCCCCCATGTAATTATAGATCTGCTAAAGTGTTATTGGAAGGCTTATTCCCCTTACTAAAGTTAACATGTTGCTTACTTTTGGTTTATTTACTTTCTGAGATGGTGCCACCTGGTGGTTAAAATCTTCTATCATAGAATACTCATTAGGAATATTTTACCTCAGAGCCTTGGTGGGATAAGGTAAAGGAGGGAATAAAATGTGACTAATTTTTATATTGTTATTGAGAGTACCCTATTGCTTCTAAGCTCCTACTTTACTGCCAAGTAAAAGTTAAAATAGCTTTTTAGGGGCTTCGTGGCCAGTAATGAAAACACCGAATTGTCACAATTGAACATTTTTTTAAGAGTTTCAGCTGACTATTTTGGTACCAGTGTATGCATACTTGCAGAAGTGGGTGGAGTTGGCATGGGGAGGGAAATGTTGTAATTATGACAACTTAACCCTTCTGATGTTTTCTGAATGCCAGCAGGACTGAACTTTTGTTTTTTTAACTGAATAATAATGGACTTTGTCCCTCTCTTTCTCACTGCAAACGCCCATGCATGAAGGCTTATCACAAATGAATATTCCCTTCACCTTTCAGCGGGGCAGCTTCTGTTCACAATTACCTTGGCACTAACTTTTTGAACTTGTGTTCTGTATTCCTAGTGGTAGCAGGTGTTTATCATATGAATGTGAATTTTGTTTTTAGAAATGGCTTGAAGTCATTTAATCGTGAGCTTAGATTTAAGAAGAATCTTGAGAACTCAGTGCTACAGTATGCCCTGTGACATCCTTAATTGATGTAGCCAATCTCTTTTGGGTGCATCCCTAAGCTCTCGATTATCTGTCCAAGCCACAGAACTTCACATAGCAGCCTGTTTTGTTGTTGGACAGTTTCATGAAGATGACATCTGCCTCTGTAACTTGCACCCTTTGATTTCCAGTCCTGTTCTCGGAGACACATCAGAGTAAATTCAAATGAACTGTTTGTATTATGTGACAGAGCATTTCAGATATACGAGTAATACTTTAATTTCACATGCATTGTTCACTGTTTCAGAGATGCTCGCATATGTTATTTTAAACCTCATGACAACATGGAGATAGAGGTTAAGAATTATTCCATTTTAAGGAAGAAGAGACTTAGGTCTAAGATCAAGTAAACAAAGTGATACAACTTGAGAAAAGCTGAGTCCACAATTTTTGCCTTCAAACCAACTTCTCCCTACAAATCCGTGGTTTGTCCAGTTTAACCAGATTGTTCCTTTTATCTGTCTCCTCTCTTGGGGGCTCCCCTAAGTTGGCGAATGTTACCAATTTTATTAATGGTTTCTTTAAATCTAGTGTCAGAGCCATCACCATCCTGAGCACTCTTCCTAGGAATATCAAATTGTGAATATTCTGGACATGGCTGATCAGAACAATCATAGTACCGTTCTTTTTCTTGATGTAGACAGACACTCTATTTCTAATAATACAGGACCATATCAATATTACATTGACTTCTTTAGGAGCTAGGTCTAGAATTAGTGCCTGTTGAACTTGTAGCCAACTAGAGGCTCTTTGTGAAATAATAGTTTTTCTTATTTCCCTTTATTTCATTCACAAACTACCGGGAAGGTATGTCTTCCTGTTTTGAACATGGGAAAAAAATCTGTCATGGTGAGAGATTACCTTGTGTAGTGACTCTGCCACTGACTGTGTGATTGGTCTTAGTTTTGCCATGAAAATGTCTGTAATGCATATTTTGATGTACAAAAAGGCAATTTTTTATGATTCAACTGAATTTTAAAAGCTACCAACTTCCTATAGTTATTGGGAGAGTTATTAGACTTGTGCCTAGCATGTAGTGTTTGACAATATATTGCACATTAATGTAGATATATTCTTATGGCTTTGAAGAAATTTAAAAAAATAAAGAATCGGCATATATATTTAGCTTTTCTTTAGTTTATAATAATTTGAGTTGCAATAGTGTTACTAGAATAGACTTAAAGATGACTAGTAGAAGGTATCAGCACTTATTTATTTGTGTTCTAAGAACAATGCCATTGTTTTATAGTTGTATGTATTACAATACGCATTTATGCTTATATACAACATGTATATATATTTTTTATCTCTGCAGCCCAATATTTTCCCAGGTGTTTACTTTGTCAATTAAAATAAGTCATTTCAGTACATCATAAGCTTGTTTCTGAACTGTAAAAGCACAAATTTGAGGCCGATTGATAGAAATAGGCAAAAAATATTTTGTCAAATATATTCACAAAATAAAATGTTAAAGTCCTTTGCCAGGTGACTAAACCAGAGTACATCTTCCTTCAAAAGACTGAGGCAAAAACGAGATAACTGATACTATATATAAATGTAGGGGCATAATATTGGTACAGTATTAGACAACTTAAATCGCTGTACTGTATGAGACCTTATTTTTCTGAGGCAAAAATTTGTATTATTAAAGACTTTGGCGTCAGTGGCAGGCAAAAAAAGAACTTGAAGTAGGCTGTATTTTCAATTTCCATTTTAAATACTCAGCTGGGCAAAATGGCCTGATTTTCAATATTTGGCTGCGGTATTTTGTGTGTGTGTGTGTGTGTGTGTGTGTGTTTGTGTGTGTTGGTTACTCAGTGAAATAGTGATCTGGTATATTTGTAAGTTGAAATCTGAAATAGTAGATACATTATGATACTTTGGAATTACCAGTTTAGGTATTTTTAAGGATTTTATTTGTTAGGAGTGGAAGGTAGATGGGCAGTTTGAATTTCTCTCAACTTGTTTTTAACAGCTTTGTTAAGGTATAATTTATGTATTATAAAATTCACCCAATATAAGTGAATTTAGTGATTTTGGTTAACTTATACCACTGTGCAACCATTACTCCAGTGCTATCTTAGAACATTTTCATCACCCCAAAAGATTTCTTGTTGTCCATTTGCAAATTAGTTCCCCACTCTTGCCTTCAGGCCTGTGCATCCGGTGATCAGCTTTTTGTCTACAGTTTTGCCTTTCCTAAACAGTGCATATAAGTGGGATCATACAATATAGTGTTTTAAATCTGGTTCTTTCATTTAGCTTAGTGTTTTTGAGGTTCATCTATGTTGAACCGTGTATCATTTAATTTATTTTAATTGAAAAATAGTACTCCATTGTGTAAATAATACTACATTTTTAATCCAATTACTTGGTTATTGGACATTTGGATTGTTTCCAGTCTTGGCTGTTATGAATAATGCTATGAACACTGACATATATATCTTTCTGTGGATATACAGGGTGAAGCAAAAGTAGGTTTACAGTTGTTTATATGGGAAATAATACAATACTTAATAAATCATACAAGAATAAACTGTGTTTCATGTGCTCACAGCCATAGTTTTACTTTTTTCCCACCTCATATTTTTCATTTCTCTTCAGAAGATTCCTAAAAGTGTAATTTCTAGGTCATAGGTAAGTTTGTGTTTAACTTCTTAAGAGACTGTCAGTTGTCTTTCCAAGTGTCTGCTGTTTTATATTCCCCATAGCAATGCATGAGGTCCATTTTCTCCACAGTCTAACCAGTCAGTGCTTGGTATTGTCTGGGTTTTTGATTGTAGACATTCTGGTGGATGTGGAGTGGTATCTCATTGTGGCTACAATTTGCGTTTCCCTGAGGACTCATGGTGTTCAGCATCTTCTCAGGTGCTTAATTAACCAGTCCTGTATCATCTTCAGTGAAATATCTATTTAAATCTTTTGTCCATTTTTGGGGGGTCCATTTTAAATATTGGATTGTTTGTAAGCATTTCTTATTATTGTAGGTACAAGTCCTTTATCATATAATAGTTGCAGATATTTTTCTTGTAGTCTGAGGCTTGTAGTAGGCCTTTTTTTGTTTGTTTTTTAGGGCATTTTTAAGTTTGCAACCAAATGGAGCAAAAAGTAGAGAGAGCTCATGTATCCTTTGTCCCCACATACTCACAGCTTCCCTTGCTATCAACATCCCCCACAAGAATGATACGTTTATTACAATTGAGGAAGCTACACTGATAGGTCACCAAAGTGTGGCTTGTCTTTTCATTTTCTCTGTGGTGTTTTGTTGAATCAGGAAAGTTTTTATCTTTAATTTACCAATTTTTTTTCTTTTATGGATTGTGCTTTTTATGTATCTAAGAATTCTTTGCCCAAACTAAGGTCGTAATTTTCTCCTGTGTTTTCTTTCTTAGAACTTCTAAAAGATTACAGCAATTAGTTAGTTCTTTTTTTTTGTACTTTTTTCTGAGTTAAAAAGAATAGGTTTAAAAAAGACAATAGGTGCATAGTGCAACATAACTATAGCACACACCTCAAAATAATGTTTTTTTTTTACCTTTCCTGCTAATTTTCTGTGTGAGTGAACTAATTAAACTAATCTCAGGGATTTCAGCCTCTTATTATTGTAATAATCACATTTTATGGATGTATCTGCTAAATTTGAAAATTTTCCATCTGCTTCTTGTTTCTTTTCATGGTTTAGTTAGATTTTCCTGGTCAGATATTAGGAAGAAAGCAGTCTATATTAATGCATGCTAATGTGAGATGACTAATTTTCCCTTTAATCCTCTCAGAGGAATACACATTTTTAAAGGATTAATAAGCCAGTTCTCTTAATTGGTAGAATTTCATCTGAACAAAATGAGTTGTAATCAGTTTCATGAATGTGAGGCTTATTAGTATAGGGAAACTGCGTCTGCTTGCGTGCTTATTTCCAGGATCAGGCCTGTGGAGGAGTCCTGCTTTTTTCTGAACCTTCATGTTCTCGAAATACTCCTGAGAAATTATTGAATCGTTTAAATCCTTGGATAAGGAACCTGAGGCTCAAGTTTAATAATTTGCCTAAGACCAACATTCTTTTCTGATAAAGGTCACTTTATGAGAAAATATGAAAATAGTTTAGGTTGCACTAACAAATATAATCACACATACTCAAGACCCTCTTGTATCCACAGGGTGCTCCGCTGTGCTCCAACACCTCCTAAAGATGCATCCTGACTTATCTCCACATTTGCACACTGAAGAGTGCAACATCTTGATTAACTTACTTAAGGATTGTCACAAAAATGTAAGAGTTCAGAAAAATTACTGTAAAGTAAAAATGAAACTTAATGTACCACACACTGATGTAATTTAAGTGTTATCTCCACTAACAGAAGGGAATGATAATGTCTTAGCTTAGTAAAGATTAGCAATTGATGCTTGTGATTTTTCAGAAACCACTTCCTTTTATGATAGTAAAATTCAAGAATGAAGGTTTATTAGGGATCTTTTGAAATGATTTGTAATGTTTGGAATCCATGTTCTTAAAATAAAATACTTTTCCTAATTACAGAGCACTAGAATAATTATGTTCAGCTCTGACTCTTCTGATCATAATTGAATTAGTCTAAGATTTTCTGTTCCTTGATGTCTCCCATTCTGTGTTTAAAGGAAATTGAAACATTTTTATAATTAGGTGTTGATAAATTTAAATTATGATCAACTTAATTTGACAGGTTTACTTGTTAGTGGAATGGAAGTAAAATTCCATGGTTAAAACCAAAATAGGAAGAAGCCCGTTTTTGGAATGCATTAAATTGAGCTGCTGTTTTTACAGATGTCGAATATTTAGCTTTATTCATATACCTGATGCATCAGACAGTGATAAGAAGCATTTGTGTTGTTGTTTAACTTTGCACATTGCATTGTTTTCATGTGATTCAGAAACAGTAGATATGTCAATTTTTAGTAGTGTGATTTTTTTATTTTTTAAGTGTATTTTATTGATTATGCTCTTACAGTTGTCCCATTTTTTTTTCTCCCCTTTATCACCCTCTGCCCTGTACATCCATTCCCACCCCTTAGTTCACGTCCATGGATCATGCATATAAATTCTTTGACTTCTCCATTTCCTATACTATTCTTGTCATTCCACTGCCTATTTTGTACCTACCAATTAGGCTTCTTATTCCCTGTACCTTTTCAGTAGATTTAAATGAGCAAACTTTTAAGACTAAAGGTAATGTAAGTAAAACCCATAACCTATAAAGTGAGATGTTTTCACTGGTTCAGAGAATGTTGTTGATGAATAATATATTTGAGGCAAACTTTTAAGTATATGAGTATATGGTAGTATCTCATTTGGTTTTAAATTGTATTTCCCTGATGGTCAGTGATTTTGAGTATTTTTTCATGTGCTTATTGACCATTCATATAAAGTCTTTTGCCAATATTCAGAAATTGAATTGTTTGACTTACTACTGAGTTGTCAGTATTACTTTTGTCATTGGACATACAGGTCCTTTGTCTGATAAGTGTATTGTGGATATTTTCTCCCAGTCTTTGACATAATTTTTCATTTTCTTAAGGATGCATTTTGAATAGCAATTGCAAATTTGATGAAGTCTAATTTACTGATTGTTTTCTTTTGTTTGTGTTTTTTATGATTTAAGGATCTTGTCTATTTTATGGTCACAGAGATTTCTTATTTTTTCTTTTGCAAATTTTATAGCTTCAGCTTTTACATTTAGGTCTGTGATTCATTTCAAGTTGTAATTTTTGTGTATGGTGTAAGGTATGAGTCAAGGTTTCTTCCTTTACCTATGGATATCTAATTATTCCAGCATCATTTCTTGAGGAGACTTCTTTCTCCACTAAAATAACCTTGGTGCCTTTGTCAAAAAACAATTTACCATATGTTAGTGGGTCTCTTTCTGGGCTCTCTGATCTGTTCCACTGATATATAGATATATCTATATATCTTTTAACACTGCATAATTTCAAAATTAGGTCCCATGACTGTCTTTTGTCCTCTTCTGTCTTAATTCATTTTCCAAAGTGTATCTAGAGTGATTTTTGAAATGTAAGTTTAGTCGTTCTTCTCCTTTAGTGGCTCCTTTTGTCTATAATAAATCTTCATTTCTTACTTGGTGTTGCAAGACCTTAAAACTGGTGCCTACTTACCTCTTGGGCCTCAACGCTGTTCTGTACCTCTGGTCTCTCCCTCATTCCTATGTGCTCTTTTCTGCAGTTGCACTGGAGCATGTTTCTCTCTTATAAGCCTTTGTACTTGCTTTTTACTTTGCTTAACTTAGAGCCTTTTTCACTATATTCACTACCCATTTGCTAGACCATTTATCATTCCCAGGTTTTATTCAGCTTAATTTGTCATTTCCTCTTTCTTCTTTCCTGATCTTGCTTCTTTTGGGATAGTCATTCTGTACTCCAGTAACACCATACATAATACATTTCCTACTTTATGGTGGTGGTTCTTACACTTTTTGGTCTCAGGACTCCTTACACTCATAAAAATTATTGAGGACCACAAAGAACTTTGTTTATGTGGGCTGTACACATCAATATTTACTGAATTTAGAAATTGAAACAGAAATTAAAAAATAGTTTATTTAAAAATAATAAACTCATGTTAACATAGTTATTTTTTAAAACATTTTTATTTATTTATTTTTAGACAGAGGGGAAGGGAAGGAAAAAGAGAAGGGGAGAAACATCAATGTATGGTTGCCTCTCATGTGGGGCCCCACTGGGGACCTGGCCTGCAACCCAGGCATGTGCCCTGACTGGGAACCGAACTGGTGACCCTTTGGTTTGCAGGCCAGTGCTCAGTCCACTAAGCAACACCAGCCAGGGCTAACATAGTGATTTTTCCTAAAAAGCTCTTAGTTTCCAAAAAAAAAAAAAAGGAATGACATTGCTTGTGCATTTTTACAATTCTCTGTAATATCTGACTTAATAGAATACAGCTGATTCTCATAGCTGCCTCTACATTCAATTTGTGATGACATTACAGTCATGTAGCCTCCGTAAAATTCCTCTGTACCCTTGTTAGAGAATAAAAGTGAACAAAACAAATAAGATATTTGATTATTAGGAAAATAGTTTTTACCTTATGCATCTCCTGGAAAGGTCTTGAGAACTCTTGGATGTCCCTGGACTGTACTTTATGAATCATTTCTTTATAGCAGTCACATCGTTGTTTGTCTCCTCCCTCTGACTGTGTGTTGTGAGAGTAGGGCCCAAGTCCTCCCTGCATACTGCTGTATCCTAGGGCCTGGAACATTGTCTTCTAGACATTGATTGATTCACTTACTAAATCAATGGCTTAGCCAGTTTGGTTCTCTAGAAATAGCCATCAGGCATGAGAAGTTTATGCTACGTACAAGAGAAATGAAGTACATGGGCATGTCCTTTACCACTTTCATTGGGTATTTTAGGTTTTACACATAACGTCACAAGAGTATAATTCTTATTTGGGCTTAGTGTTGAGGTAAAAGTAAAAATAGGTTTTTTCTTGGATTTTTTAGTATGAGCTCTATGTTTATGGGGTGATAGGAATAAATGTAAGCTAAAGTATAAAATATTGCCTTGCATCCTAAAAGTTTAATCCTTTCTGTTATTTCTGTTTGACCAGAAGGTGTATGAAACTGCATTGTCTCTGCTTATTTGTTTTCAAGGAATTAATTTAGGAAAAATACACAGGAAATATTTATTTTGAGGAGGTTATTAGATAACAAGTAGGAGCTCTTAGTCTATTTTAAATGCTTGTCAGAAAAACTGACCATTTATCCAATGTGTACCAGAAAAATACATTTAAAGTGGTAATGAATCAGGAAAAAAAAATAACATGAGGCATAGCTTACTAATTATGCATTGCCTGGTTTCCATGAATGCCTTATTTAGAAAAAAAGGAAAAGATCTGCTTATTATTACAAGTTCAGCATTTATAGCATCATTTCAGGTCACCCTGCTTTCCAATCAACCCTTAAAAATTGTGACATGCAAACACACTAGATATGGTCCTACTAAAATTCAGGTACTTGACTTCATCTTAATCTGCTTTGGAGCATTATTATTGCCATGATAATAGTCAAGGGACTTGAAACCACTAGGGGATTTTTATTTTTGCTTTTCAAATAAAGCAGGCTGAACTTCAGACATAGATTTCCCTTCACTGTGAATTAGTGGCTTATTTACATAGTCCATATAGGCCATCGAATAACAGTGTTATGTGTTTCTGATTTATTTTGATCACATTTTGAATGAGGACAAATGAGAGAATGGCTTTGGCACCAGGCGTTTATTAAGTAGCTCTTCAGTTGGGCAGTATTTGCTAGTGAAGGAAGTTCTTGTGTTAATATGGCCACACTGCTCTTTGACATTACTCCTTGTAATAGTGGATGGATTGCGCTGTGATTTTAACGTGCCCTTAAAGCAATATTAGGAAATAAAATCGTTTACACTCTGTCATTAAGACGTTTTGGCAGGTTAATAGGCTTCCCATTTATCAAGGAAATATTTCATTTTTTATTTCTACTATAGAGCATTTATCCCTCTTTTTTAGGAAAGCCAGGATAAGCATGTTTATTTGGATATTTTACACTTGTGGTTTAACCATTTGCTTATTAACAAGGTGACACATTAAATAAGCATTTAAATTCTATGTACCTTAGCATATTATGGGATGAAATATTTTACCCTTTTCTTCTTTTAGCACAGCATTCTGAAATTTTTTGGTCATTGCAATGATCTTGATCGGGAGATGAGAAAATGCTTGAAGAAGGAGGTAAGAAAAGTGTTAAAGGATAGAAATAGTTCAACAGTAGAACAGAACATTTTTGAAAAATATTATGTATGATTGCCATTGTTAAATTTATTTCCTAGATTAGTGTAACAGAAAAATTGACTTTATATGTATATGCCCCCACAAAAACCTCGGGGAGAAATGAAAGCCTCTTCTGGGGACGATTTTAGAATATCTCTACTATTTAGCATGCACATAAATGAAAACAACTTCCTTCTTATAATCACTGTAATTCCTCTGGATGACTTTTAAAGTTTGGGAAGTTGACTTTTTACAGCATATGATTGTCTACACCACTATACTGTGTGCCTGAAACTAATACAAAATAATGTTGAGTGTAACTGTAATTGAAAAATAAAATTAAAGCTAAAAAAAAACCCAGATGCAATGGGAAAAGAAGATTCTTTTCCCAATTATAGATCTTCATAGGAATTTGATCTATAATTGTCTTTGTTCGATTAAAAAAAAGTTTGGTAAATTGAATCTCTTTAGCAAAAAAGACATGTCAATCAGCTATTGGCTGTAGCAGGTAACTAAAACTCTGGGCCTCAGTTTCCGAGGGTGGACTTAGGCTCTTTATAGCTTTAAAATTGTGAATTTCTTTATAATTATGGTCTGTATAAACCACAGGGATCTAGTCGGACTTCTTTGGAAAGACTCATTTCCTGAACCCAGTTTTAGGCTAAGACTTGGACTTGGGCAAATAGCCAGAATACTGAATTCATTGTCTTCTTACAGGTACTGCTAACCAAGCAGAGTGCATTTAAATCTTTGAAAATAAATCTAATTCCATTCATTTTGTACATCAGGTGTTTTATGTCCAGAACCTTTAAAAATCTATACTAAAAATCTGCCTTCCAATTTTCTTTCATTTTCTGTACTTTGAACTTTTTTCTACCATTATTAGCCTTATGTTGAAAAGCATTAGATACAATATTTGAAGCTTCTCAGCATCTATCTTTTTTCATTTCCATATTTTTTACTTTGGGCTTTTGTTTTTTCCTTCCTGGAATGCCTTTCCAAAGGTGTCTTTACTGTTTGAAGAACTTCCCAGAGTTCTGAGTTAAGGGTGATAATTTTCTTTGTGTGAACAAACATAAACATGTACAAATGTTTTAATCTGATTTTTGAAAGGAGTCTTTTTTGAATACGTAAAGGCTTGTTTAGATGGAAACTAAACTTAAGGCTCTGTTTCTTTTTAAATAAAATTATGGAAAAATAAAGACTATACTATTTTGGGGGGTATAGCTGTTTATTTTTCACATAATTTCAGTTGTGTAACATAGCTTTTTCTGTAAGTTTAGATTTTTTTTTTCTCCTCACAGTTTAATGGTTTTGCCATTGGCTTGATGATTGATCATACGAAATTTTCTTCCCAGGTAGACCTGAGGTGTTAGTGACTATTTGGTAGAATGTTGTAGATACTCTTATTTTATCTGAGATTTTCATATAAATTTCAGATTTTCTCCTTGATTTATTTTCTGAGTCTCCCCTGTGGTTTTTATGTTGCTTAATGACCTGATTTATTTTTCTATCCTTTCACCCTTTAATCCTCTGAACCTGTCCTCATTTATTTCCTCTCTGCTTTTAATGCTTTCTAGTTGACCACTACTGCTTCTGGCGCTCTCTTCCTGCCATTTCCTTGGTGTATCATTTGAGTACTTCATTCCTTGATACTTATAACTAGAAAAAGGATCTGGCCAGTTCTGTTGAGCCTCTCTGTGCTATTGTGTTGTTGCTTTTGTTCATTTATTGAAATAATCACTAATATTACTTTGTAACATTCTCTTTTGTCCCTCTTGGTTTTGGTTAATTGACCTTCCATTCTATCTGTGTTTTCAGTGGAGTTTTGTGAATAATATTATAGTCATCCTTTTTTATTGTCTTTTATTCCAGGGCCATTTTGACTCCCTTTGGAGATAATCTTAATATATATTTTAATGTAGACTATATTTTAATTTGCACTATGATTTGTCTTATTAGTCTGCTACAAAGTATTATCTTCAGAAGATTTACTGCTCAGACTCTGCTCCCACCCTACTTGTAGGGGCAACATATGATTATAGATATCAAATATATTTCTCAGAGCAGGTATCCATGTTCTGGAGTAGTGGCTATTTATTTGTTTATTTATTTACTTTTAGAGAGTGAGAGGAAGAGGGAGAGAGAAACACTGATTCATTGTTCCACTTATTTATGCATTTATTGGTTGCTTCTTATATGTGCCCTGACCAGAGAGAGAGTGAACCTGCAACCGTGGTGTGTCAGGGCGACCCTCTAACCAACTGAGCTACCCTGCCAGGGTGAGCAATGGCTTTTTTTGTCCCTAAGTTTTTTAAAGCAATGAAACACACCCTTTCCTTAACAATCCAACTACCATTCTGGTAGATGTGTTAGAAACCTTCAATCAAAACTTTAGACTTAGACAACTCAAAGATTATCTGGCCCAACTCCTTATATTTGAGGTTAATGGACCAGAGGATGGAGTAACTCAAAGTCAGGAATCTCCACACCATGGTCTCAGGAGGTGGAGGAGGGGATCTGGTCAAGGCCCTGGTTAGCTCTCTGTCACTGATTTTTTTGTTCTCTGTGACCTCTTTCCATACCTCTGTCTCCTAAAAGATTTTGATGTCCAACTGTTGACATACACTCAGTTTTTTCAAATTGGATTTGCTTTTACTTTTTTCAACCTGGATTTTTACTTTTTTCCCCTCTGCCGAGGGACTCTTCATTTACCTTTAAAATATGTCTGTATTGGTAATCATATTATAAACCTGTACATGTGTACATATAAGAACACTTATATTCAAGTTTCTTTGCTTTAAACAAGTACTTTTTCCAAGTGCCAGGCTCTGTGTTTCATGTTATTTATAATCTGCTAACCAGATCAGAATACTAGGTTGAAAACCTCTAAGGTGAAAACTGCATTTAGATTCAACTGATTACAGACACGTAGGATTTGGGGAGACTCTGATTCATGATTTAAAAAAAACAGAAAACCGTTGGAGGTTCAGCTGCCAATAAGTTTCTGTACAAATCAACAGGATAATGTGGTTACTAAGAGCCAGTTACTTCTGATAATACTTGTATTTATAGAAACGTAATGGGACTAGGTCATGAGAACTAGTAGGCCCATTGTAGCCCACATCGGCCAGAATACTTCTGGAGCACTGTATTTAATTCTGGTTGTGTTATTTTTTATAAGGAGTATTGATATTAGAGCACTTTATAAAATGTGCTTTATAGATATGAGAAGGCAGAAGCCCTAATCTGTGAACAGTAGAGAAACCATTGATATTCAGCCTGAGAAAGAGATTATGGGTGGGTTATCTGTAATCAGATATTTGAAAGAATATAGCAGGCAAGAAGAAATAGAGGGCAGTAGGAGAATTTCCTGGGAAACACTTACTGATTCAACGTAAAAAATTTTGGAACAATTACTGGAACAATAATTAAATAGGTAGTGAGCTCCTCATAACTAGAAGTGTTCAGTCAGAGGTTGGATAATTCGATAGATTGTGAGCTCCTGGAGAACAGGGACAAAACTCACTCATCTTAAATATCTGCTGAATTCATATTTTGGAAGGAAAATAATTGAATAAAGATTTGAATACCTGTTAGGATGCAGATACTATATTATATTGAATGAAATTATACTGGGTAGCCTCTACGGTCATTTTCCAATCTCAGATTTAATGAAATAAAAAAGACAAATAAGAGTGTTGTCAGCAAAAACATTATTTTTATTTTGCAAATATTTTAAAATATTTAACTTACTTGATATAAATGGCGATATAATCTCTTTTCTCCCCCTTCCTTTTATTTTCCAGTACATGGAAAAGAGGACCAAGAGCAGGGAGCATGGCAATGCAATGCGAAAGAGACTTTTTAATTCTCCAGACGAATCTGAAACATAAATTATATTTTCACTGGATGCCTTGGCTGAGAGAAGATCTAAAGACTCTTGTTGATAACCGAAAGAACGCTGTTTCATTTGGTCTCCAGAATCTTTTGAATAGCAAGTGACCCGTGAGAAATCAAGCCATGGAGAAACACAGAAGCCCTGGATTCAGACTTTTTGTTGGGCAGAGCCTTTAGTACTCTGATTCCTTTACCAACACACCTGACTTTTAACATGTTTCTTTCATTTGCCCACAACCACTTAACATTTGCGTAACATATCTCCCGCAATAAAATAATTGACTTCAGGCATATTTTCTCTGCTCTCTTAGACTGTCCTGAAATTAAGGCAAAGCAGTTTCCCATTAGACTTTCCTTTTGGACAGCATGGCAATCCTGGAGCTTAAACTTTGAAGATACAAGCTAGGACCGAAAGATTTTGAGGAAATTCCCAGCTCTGTTAACGATATGAAAATGTTTCAACTTTATTGTCTTTAAAGAGCTATTTTCTTAAAAAGTTAAATGTTTAACATTGATAAAATTACTTCTAGTTAGAATTTAAGTCCTAGTGGACCTTGGTTCCTGTTTGGTTGGATGTGCCCCTGCTGAGTACCAGTTAACTCCTGGGCATTAACTTCAGGCCAGCATGCCGCCTCTTGCTGGGTACGGAGCTCTCTCTGCTTCCCATACTCATTTTTAGCAGCATTCTTTTTGCCCGGTGTTTCTGAGACCTGTGGGACTCTGAAAGTCAGTTAGGTAAGGTGTCAGTAGACTATGAACTGTGAACTCCTGGTGAATTCTGTTGTTTATGTTCAGCATGATGACTTGTTGGTGTCAGTGTTTAAAAAGTGATTCCCCCGTCACAAGAGGTATTCAAGATGCTGGATCTTGACATTCACTTAGCAAGGTGGTTACAAAGGGTAACAGACATTTGATGCAGGGTTAGAGGAAGCAGAATTAATTCTGAGGACTCTGAAGACTTGAGAGTCTTGCATATTCAGGTGTATCCCCTCAGCCTCCCCTCTGCCCCCTCCACCCTGTTAGGCAGTGCAGGTACAGAAATGAGATATTTTGTCTTCAGAAGCTTATTGTAAACTGACAAGTTGACTATTAGTGTCTTAAGTGCCATGATTAGGTAGGTGTCATAGAAAACAGGTCATCCGTGCCCAGCCTTCTGGAAGAAAGCTACTTAGCGCAGGTAACTTGACAAGTGGAGTGAAATGGAATACATTCTGGGGGACACGAGTCATTTAGCATGACTGGAATATGAGAACTCTTGGTGAAGGAAGATCAGAAATGTCTTTTAATTTTGTTGGAATTTTTTCTTCAACACTGTGGTGACCAGTTGCAAATTTTAATATGGTGATTTGGGATTTGTGGAGGGGACTTAGGAGGGTGATATGTTTCAATTTGTGTTTTTAGTAAGATTTTTCTGGTTGTAGTTTGGGGTGTAAACTGGAGGCGAAGAGAGATTACACCCAGGGAGACCAATTAGATTGCTCACTAATTTAGGTGAAAAATAAGGGCCCAAATTAAGTGACTTGGCGATCAAGAGGAGTGACTAGATTGAGGGGAATTTGAACACAGAAGCAACATGACTGACAAGGTGTAGGGTTTAAGGAAAGTGTAGGAGGCCTCAGGCATTTGATTTGTGCCTGCTAGTTTTTGATGCCCTCCCCAGAGAAGGGAGTACAAGAGAGGTGTGGTGTGAACTGCTGAGTTTGAGGGGTGTGGATGATCTGGGTGCAGATGGCTTTTAGGCTTCTGAGTATTCAGATCTGGAGCTTAGTTGTCTGGTCTGGAACAGACGTGGATGACGGCAGCATATAGATCAGAGCTAGTGACCAGGGGCCAATGATAGTGGACCATGAGAGTTTTGTGGAGCAGAATGAAATTTTTTTAGGGGAGGGGTTATATAATTTTTTAAAATTATATAAGTACTACATTTTTAGGAACATTCAAACAATTTATAAGTTTTACAGAGTAAAAAGTATCCTTTATTCCCCAATATCATGTCTTCTCAGAAATATCTATAACTGAAAGTTATGTGGGGCTTCTGGGCATTTATATTAGTATTTCAGGACAGGAGAGGGAGTCCCACATACGGAGAAGGAGCAGGCACAGAGATAGAAGGCTAACCACAGTGAATGATGGTTAGAGAGGAAGGTATGTCACTGGATGAGAATAAGAGCTGAGGGGGCAGTTGATTGGGTCCCTCTACACCTGTTACATTAGAGCTGTTTGGTGTGGTAGGGAGTGGGTGGAAGCTGAAGTGGAGCTGGAGGATATAAGCACATCTGAAAAGGCTGGGCTCTGAAGGGAGGGACAGTGTAGGTTAACGAGGTCTTCTTCCAAAATCAAAAGAAAATGGCAAGTGACACTTGGGAATGAGTATATGTCGAAAGAATGCCAGAGAAGAGAGAGGGATTAATTTATGGAAAGAAATCTTTGAGGGTGCAGAAATGGATGAGAGATTCAGGGTGCATGGTGACAATGGTAATGTTTTTTTCTAGAAGACACTAGAAACTGAAAACTTGAAGCACTGTAGGACATGCAAAGTATTCTTTTCAGAGAGCAGTAAATGCCTGTTTGTGCAGGGAGTAATGCTGTTTCTTCTACAAAGAATTAAGAGTGAGGCTCTGCTTCTGCTCTCTGAGGATTCATAACCACAGATACACTAATGTCACCAGGAACTAGTGATGCTGGTAAATGTAGTGATTGGCTCTCAAAGACAAAGGCACTGAACTGTAGCATTGGCCATTTTCTGTGTTGTAAATATTTCTGCTATGGCAGACTTCAAGCTACCAAGCTGATGTCGCTGAAGGTGGTGTTGGTAAAAGATGCGCTTAGTAGGCTCTTCTGAGCTGGTACCAGCTGACTCCTGTCCCCCATGGCACACCACTGATGTGCTGAAAGAACTGCAAGGAATTACCAAGTCACTTGGTTGCCCACTGATTTATCACCTTCCCCATCTCTAACGTGTCCGTTGAAAGCACCTGTAATATCAGATGGACACTAAAGCAATACCATTGCGATCTCTGTGACAGCAGCTGTAGTTGAGGACTGCTGGAGTTCAGAGAGTCTCCTGGGGCATGTCACTTGCAGAAGTGTGAATAACCATATGCCAGGTGGTTGGGAAGGAGATGAAACCTGCCTGTGCCATCATGAGTGGTTGGATTCGTGCCCTGGCAGCAGAGTTCAAGAGCTCAGATGCCCTCAGCCCTCTTTATAATCACATGACCTTATGAGCCATCTCAAGAACTGCTGGGACCTACAGAAACGGGCCCAGGCTGCCTATAAGTTGTTACCTAGCTATGTGACTAATGACAGGGTGCTCAGTCTGGGTTTCAACTCTTACTTGAAAATGAGGTGGTTGGACTTGTTTACTCTTTTGTTTACCCCTGAATCCTTAGCATTTCAGGCCTAAACACTAAATAATCAGTAGGAGGTAACTGTTTTGCCATAAAAGATGCCGTGATGGTGAAGGCAATTTGGCCTGGGTCTTTTTTGTTGTTTGTGTTATTTTCCCTTTAAATTTCTATCCCATTTTGATGTCTGCTTCCTATCCTCACCTCTCTTACCGCTGTAGGGTGCCGCCTTTACTAACAGGAGTATATCATATCCCTTAAGAGTATTGAGGCTAAATCGAGGGTCACAAAGTCCTGCTGCGAACTCCTCGACCCTGTCTGGCTCCCTCCAGATAACCCTCACGGTGCTGCCAGGGAAATACCGTGCTCTGCTTTTGAGGTCGTCGTCTGACTATTCCAGGTGTTCCTAATCCCTCCGCAATAATGTGCACACTCAAGGCCTTGACAATACAAGGCCTGTCTACCTCTTTGGCTCCCTCTAGGAGGGGAGTTTGAGAAAGAAAATGCTGTGGAGCTGGAACATCAGGGGCAAAGGAGAGAGTGGAATGAGGTGAGAGGAGAACATGCACAGGGGCCTTGGGAGACACAGCAAGGAACTTGGGTTTTATAAAGATCTTTCTGGCTGCTGGGTGAAGAATAGTTACGGTTAAACTAATTCAACCCAGATTTAGTTCCTTAAAATTTTTTAAGCCTCAGTTTCCAAATCTAAACATTGGATGATATCAGTTCCTATCACATAGGGTTATTGTGAAGATTAGTTGAGATAATGTATATAAAGCTGTTGGAAAATTAACTGGCAGAAAGTAAAGGCCCACTCAATATTATTCTTTATGAGTGCATCCAAACGAGTATTGGAAACACTTCCCTGCATTTTAGTAGAATGCAGTAAATCACTTGGGGTGGTCCCATTTGGGCAGGCCCCCAGCAGAGCGGGTGGGGGAATCAAAGGGTGAGGAGCCTTGGTACGGGGCAGAAGGAAGAGCCAGGCTGCTACGGCCCCTAGAAGCTCTTCGCTCCCTGGCTCCCTTCCTTTTCATAAAATAAGTGAGTCCCATTGCCTAGCAGTCTGCATTTCTTTCCATTGTCACATTAGGACCTTCTGGTTTAGGTAATGTCTCCAGTCTTGCCTACTTTTCCCCAGCCCTCTGTGGATCAGAGTGAAATGTTTCTAGATCAGAGTTTTCTTCCCTCTAGAGCAAGCACATTTTCCTCCTGGGGATTTGTGTAGTTTTTTGTTTTTTTGTTTCCTTAAATTTATTTTTATTGCCACTTGGAGCCCAAGAGGCTGGAGGCAGATAGTGGTTGGGAGGAACAGAGAGGTTCTGTGTCTTCTTGCCTTTACCAAGCATCTGGCACTGCGCTGGGGTGCTGGTGATAGAGTGATGAACCAGCTGGTTAGTTCAGGTGAGGGCTCACGTCATGAAGGACCATCTGAGTCCTGGTAAGGAGTTGGGCTTTCCTTTAGAGAGTACTGGGAATACATTGTAGGGTCTATGCAGAATACAGAGTGAAGTGATAGATTTATTTCACTTAGTGTTGATTTTCAACTTCATAAAAAAAATCTGTAGTTGAGCTCAGGCCCAAGGTTTTCCTGAGAAATCTAATTTTGTGGAATATCATAAGCCTTGATGCTCTGGTCACGACAAGTTTATTAATACTTTATTGCAAGAAGCACTACACAATTTTACTTAAGAGTGAGGATAGAAAGTTGAGGTTTTCCTGACCCTTAATAAATGGAGGTTAATTTCCACGGAGTTTTTAGCTCAAAGCACAGAGTTAGTTTCCCAAGAAAGTGTGGGCTAAACTAAATAAGTAATCTCACTGGCCTGCCAGGTGGACATACCAGAGCTCATTCTATGTTTAGCAGAAGGACAAGTCACCAAGCCTCAAATAAGCTGCATTTTCCACCACACTCTGACATCGAAATTGGTGTCCTTTAAATGACATTTTATCCAGGAGTTCAC